AAAATTATCACTCTCCTGAAGGACACTAATACGTATGAATCCTTGAAAAGAGATCCAACCAGCGGCTACAAAAAGAAAATAATAGACTATCTCAAACAACTTGAAAAAGACACGGTCATTAACAGCACAGCCTATTTCAGATTATATCCAGGGGAGGAAATTCCATGCTTATATGGACTTCCAAAAATTCACAAAGAAGGGGCACCACTCAGGCCCATTGTCAGCAGCATTAACTCAGTAACAGAAAACATTGCTAAACAGCTTACTGATATCTTAGCTCCCTTGGTGGGGAACACACCACATCACATAGAAAACTCCAAAGACTTTGCCAACAAAGCCAAACATTTAAGGATGAGACCAGGAGAAACCCTGGTATCGTTTGATGTTACTTCACTTTTCACATGCATACCGATAACAGAGGCAGTGGAAACAGTCAGGACACGTCTTGAACAAGATAGTGATTTAAACAACAGGACTAATTTCACTCCGGACCAGATCTGCACACTACTGGGCCTTTGTCTTTCCACAACCTATTCCAAATTCAGAGGTAATTTTTACAGACAGAAGCATGGCTGCGCAATGGGATCTCCAGTATCACCAATTGTAGCCAATCTTTACATGGAAGAAATGGAAAAGAGAGCTTTAGACACTTTCAATGGAATACCACCAAGCCATTGGTTTAGATACGTGGATGACACTTTCGTCAAAATCCAACTAGAGGAAGTGGAAGCTTTCACCAAACACATCAACTCTGTTGACCGTAACATCAAATTCACCAGAGAGGATGCCAAGGACAACAAACTACCCTTTCTGGACTGCCTGGTGAGCATGGAAGGAGATGGAAGCCTAAACATTGAAGTGTATAGGAAACCTACTCACACAGACCAGTATCTTCTTTTTGACTCACACCACCCACTGGAACACAAACTCTCAGTCATCAGAACCTTACAACACCGGGCAGAACATGTCCCTACTAAAACAGATGGGAAGCAAAAAGAACAGAAACACATCAAAGATGCTCTCCGAAACTGTGGATATCCAAACTGGGCTTTTATCAAATCAGCACGGAAATCCAAAAGACACGCAACAGAAGACAACGATGGGAAAATTAAACGCAAAAACATCACAATCCCTTATGGTGCTGGAGTGTCTGAAAAGCTCAAGAGGATTTTCTCCAAACACAAGATCCCAGTACATTTCCAGCCAAACCAAACCCTTAAACAGAGGCTAGTGCATCCTAAAGATAAAACCCCCAGACCGAATATGAGCGGAGTGGTATATGCTGTTCAGTGCAGCGAGGAATGCTCTGATCTTTATATTGGAGAAACCAAACAACCTCTCCACAGACGCATGGCCCAACACAGAAGAGCGCCCTCATCTGGACAAGACTCCGCAGTACACCTACACCTTGTGGACAAAGGACATTCTTTTGAGGACAAGAATGTCCATATTCTGGATAAAGAAAATAGGTGGTTTGAGAGGGGCGTGAAGGAAGCCATCTATGTTAAGAGAGAAAAACCAACTTTAAACAGAGGTGGTGGACTCAGATTCCAGCTTCCAAAAACATACAATTCAATCATAGACATGATCCCTTCCAGATATCACCAAACCCCCCACCCCATCACAGAGGAACGAGAGACCTACCCGCTCCAGCCGGTGAACAATACCTCCTTAACGACCGACCCTTAACAATCATAGACAGGTTCAGATATTACAGGCTAACAATGAAACCAAACGACCCACTCATGGTTACCATTGCATGTTTCCAAGCGATACAAGGCGTTGTCTATATGAAGACTCAAACTCACTGCGGATCCAGACATTTGAATTGAGAAAGCTTCCTGGAGAGGTGGAGAAACGTCTTCAAATCTTGAAAACCAAGTCCAGTGGATATTTTTTTTTTTTTACGGAACAATTATAATTGTATAAAAGAAAATTAAAGTTTAGGTAATGAATGATGTTAGTGTTTCTGATGGATTTTAGGCTTAGAAGGCCCTGAACGCCCGGCGCTGCCAACATGGCGGCGACACAGGATGCAAGCCACCATGTTTCTGATGTCTGCGGCGGAAACGCCTTCATTCTGTTTAAAACTTGTTCTCACGTCTATTTTAGAGCCTGACAAAGACACTGCCATCTCTGCAGCTGATTTCATCAGTCTCTTCCTCTTTGCCCTTCTTTCAGGAAATGTTTGCCTTGTCTTTCATTACACTGCCCCCTAGTGGTGGTCCTGGGAAACACGCTTTAATCAGCTGTGAGAGCAGGACTCCCGGTATCTCCCAGGTATCCTTGCTCCTTCAGTGACACGGAATTCAGTTCTCACATGAAAAACTAATTATTTGCATAAAAACATTATTTTCTTTGAATTATTTATAAAGAATAGATTGGAAAAGGACAATTTTTCTGCAAAAATTGATGAGTAAGAATTTGACGCTGACGGACGCTAAAGTCGGGCATACACTGTACGTTTTTTTAATCATTTCACGCAGCTACAGCACAAACTGTACGATGAAACCGCAGGGTTTAAAAGTTCTCAGCTCCCAATGTTTGTTCTCACGCTGTGCGACCCGACGCTCTGATGCGATCTACCTGTACGTCTAAAAACCAGGTGGGACTCAGCTCCGCAGTGAGATGGCGCTACTGGGACTCGTCTATCTGGAAGCCAAACCAGTAGCAGAGGAACATGAAGCTCACTAGAGTGAAACTCGCTGCCTTGGATATTTGGGCAATTTAGTGCTGAAAGCCCTAAAAAGAAAAGGAGACGATGTATTTGGACAAAGACATGGCTGAGCTAACGTGGCTACTACGGTCTGACAGTTTGACAGGAAGAACTCCATTTCACTCATTGCCCCCCCGCCATGCTTCTGGGTTTACATCTGAGAGGAAGAAGAAGAATCCTTGTTTGCCCACTGAGCGATTTATCTACGACCACCTTAAGATGGCCGACTGAATTACAAACGTTTGATTTTCTCACAACCTTACGGTTCCTGATGGGGGGGATGGTCGTTAGAGGCTGATCACAGGTCGCACAGCCGACATTTTTATTTTGCTTCATATATCAATTGAACAATAAAGCTACTGGAGGTTGAAAGGGAGTTTTTCCTCTCCACTGTCGCTACAAGCATGCTTGGTGTGAGGGATTGCTGAAGAGTCAATGAGTCGATGCAATCAACTGCAATGCAATCATCTTATATCAGAGATCTGATTGTTCCTGATGTTCCTAACAGAGCACTTCGCTCTCAATCTGCAAGTTTACTAGTGGTTCCTAGAATTTCTAAAAGTAGAATGGGAGGCAGATCTTTTAGTTATCAGGCTCCTCTCCTGTTGAACCAACTACCAGTTTTAGTCCGTGAGGCAGACACCCTGTCTACTTTTAAGGCTAGGCTTAAAACTTTCCTTTTTGATAAAGCTTCTAGTTAGAGTGGCTCAGGTTATCCTGATCTATCTCTATAGTTCTGCTGCTATAGGCTTAGACTGCTGGAGGACATAGGGACCCCCATTTCATCATTCTGCTTCATTCTCTCTCTATTCTCCCACTCTACAGAATCTGTTAGTTCAACCTCTAACCTTCTTCTCTCTCTGCTTTTCCTCAGAGTAGCTTTGCCTCGTCTGTTCCTGTTTGGCTGTGACGTCATCCTGGAAAGAAACATCAGCTGTGCTGCTTCCATCAACACCCTTGTTTATAGATGTTGGAGATCGGCCTGTTTTCCAGTGTGGTCCTGTTTCTCTGACCGTGACTGAGTGGATGTGCTCTCTTCGTCCTCTGGCATGGGAGCTGCCTTGGAGCTCGTCTGCCTGGCTGTGTGTTTCCTGGACGGGGCCGCCTTTTACAGCTGCCTTTTGTATCTATGCTTCTTTTTCTATGTCTGCTTCCTCTCCTTGAACCCCAGTGGGCCTCAGCAGATGGCCGCTCACACTGAGCCTGGTTCTGCTGGAGGTTTCTTCCTGTTCAAAGGGAGTTTTTCCTCTCCACTATCGCTACAAGCATGCTTAGTGTGAGGGATTGCTGAAGAGTCAATGAGTCGATGCAATCAGCTGGTTTTCCTTAGATAGAAAACTTTGTATCAATTTGACTGTATGATCTGGTTGAACTGTAAAGTGCCTTGAGATGACATGTGTTGTGAATTTGGCGCTATATAAATAAACTGAATTGAATTGGTTTCCCGTTAGAGGGAAGAGGCCATCCGCCTCTTCCCTCTAACGGGAAAGGAAAGCAGCCGTTTCTATGGCAACAGTGACGCCCTATGGCTGTAGCGAAGGTGGGCATAAAATTCAACATTTGCCCGCTCTTAAAACGAAATGTATACAGTTAAATAAAACAACTTCAAAGAGGAGCTTCCATTTTGGAATTACTTTTTTTACAAACTAACTTGTGATTTTCTGTCAGTGTGACGAAGATGCAGCAAACCAGCAGAATTTACATTTAGAGGAACATATTTCCTCCGCCATCAGGCCGCCGTTACCGATGCAGGCTGACTAACGGCTGAGCGGCTGACTGGCCCTACCTGCAAAATGTCAGAATTTTCCAGAATAATGTATTTTGTTTTGCGTCTCTTATTCATCCAAAATCTAACAGAAATTAAACTGTGGCTCATCCAGGCGACCCGGAGCTGTCCGATACCTGCAGGTCCATCGGTGCTAAAACGAGCTTCCTAACGTAGAAGTTCTGATATCAGATCCACTGTTAGATAAACATGGGAGCAGATCCGGCTCATGACCTTGGCTCAGGCCGCCTCCCGGTTTTGGAGGGCAGCACCGCAGGCGGCTCCTCCTGCTCCGCCCATGGACCCTCCTCCAGATCAGCCCCCAGGCTCTGTCTGACAGCTTTACCAGTAACTACCCCAGACCCTCATTAACGGTTAATTAAATCCTGTCTATCAGGAATAGCGCCGCATGATGGGACCAATAACCTCAGGAAGAAAGGAGGGACTTTGTTCTTCGAACTGCTGCGGGACTCGGTCCCTGATGGAGGAGACGCCGTCAGAGGACCAGAAACGCTCCAAAACATTTACACAAATATTTTATTTTTAAAAAGCAGGTAAAACTTTTCTACAGGTTTATTTAACAACAGATCAAAAGTTTATAATTTGAAACAAACATTTCAGAAAAATACAGTTTGCTTTATTCCTTTAAACAAGTTAGAAAAGCTAGAAAAAGATGTTATGGACAGAGAGAGTCCCGCGCTGACGTCTCTGCAGCTTCTTCTGTCTTCATCAGGTGAACTTACATGTGAGACTGTTAAGGAAAAGCTCAGAGGGAAACCCCTTCTATTGTTTTCTAACACAATTGTATCTCATATTCAAGCAAATATTTCCCATGGTAGACTACGACAAACGTATTAGTGTAGCCACGTAGCCTACACACTGCTTATAAGTGATAAACAAGATTTATATATTTTTTTAAATCGTCCTGTGGTTTTGTAACATGACGCTTCTTTACGGCTTTTGACTCACACACGGGTTTGCAACATGCTTTACGTTACTTAACTCATGAGAGATGGAGACGCAGGAGGCTGAAGTATTAAACCCGTGGTCACAACAAACAGAGACAGCTACGCAGGCAACCCAAGATGAAGAAATTTTACCAAAAGGAGGGCGCACGTCTTTGATTTGGTTACATTTTGGATTTAAGAAGTCCAACACGGAGTAGACAACGTTCATTTGCAAACTATGCAAACTGTTCCCTAACCCGACGGCAACACGACAAACCTCTTCTATCACCTAAAGAAGAACCACAGTAATTTAATTTAAATACCTGTAGGATTTTTAAAAAATGTGAAGGACACTGTAGCCCTACCTCATCTTATGCATATATATTGCTGCACTACAATTTATTTTTCAAATTTGTGATAGTTCTATAAATGTCACTTCAAAATGAAGTTGAAAAAGTAAGCAATTATATTATTTTGTCATATTTTTCAGAGATTTGCTGAAAATGTACTTAATTGGAGCATATTGTGATATAAAATAGTCCATATCGTGATATATGATTTTTTCCATATCGCCCAGCACTACTCTATAGTTCTGCTGCTATAGGCTTAGACTGCTGGAGGACATAGGGACCCCTTTTTCACCATTCTGCTTCATTCTATCTCTATTCTCCCACCTTTTGTATCTATGCTTCTTTTTCTATGTCTGCTTCTGTCTCCTTGAACCCCAGTGGGCCTCAGCAGATGGCCGCTCACACTGAGCCTGGTTCTGCTGGAGGTTTCTTCCTGTTCAAAGGGAGTTTTTCCTCTCCACTGTCGCTACAAGCATGCTTAGTGTGAGGGATTGCTGAAGAGTCAATGAGTCGATGCAATCAGCTGGTTTTCCTTAGATAGAACACTTTGAATCAATCTGACTGGATGATCTGGTTGATTAGGATCTAGAAATAAACTTAAACCAAAAACCAGCATCCATGACCTCGGTCACATCCTGGAGATGAACCACAGGTTCTGTTGCCATGACAACACCATGACTGGCCTGACTAGTGCCAAACATCATGACTGACTGGACTCAGCCACTTTGCTGGCTTCCTGAGACTTCCTGTTTAGTTTACGGTTAAAAGCAAAGTCCAGGTCCCATCCATGGCCTGGTATCTGGTCTCAGCATTTCGACACATAGATTCTCATTTACAGACATAGAAATGAAATATTAGATAAATAGGTAAGAGAACAGACTGAGAAAGGATATGATTCATAATCCAATTTCTGAGTCAGAACCCCGGTTAGAATCAGCTCAGCATTGTGGACATCTGGAGGAGGAAGAGCAGAGGAAGCGTCAGAGGAAGCATGAAAGGAAGCAGGAAGCATCAGAGGAAACGGGGAGCATCAGAGGAAGTAGGAAGCATCAGAGGAAACTGGAAGCATCAGAGGAAATATTAGAGGAAGCAGCAGATGAAACAGGAAGCATGAAAGGAAGCAGGAAGCATCAGAGGAAACATTAGAGGAAGCAGGAAGCATCAGAGGAAGCAGGAAGCATCAGAAGAAACATCAAGCATCAGAGGAAATATTAGAGGAAGCAGGAAGCAGCAGAGGAAGTATCAGATGAAGCAGGAAGCATCAGGGGAAAGAGGAAGCATAAGAGGAAAGAGGAAGCATCAGAGAAAAAAGGAAGCATCAGAGGAAACAGGAAGCACCACAGGAAAGAGGAACCATCAGAGCAAACCGGAAGCATCAGAGGAAACAGGAAGCACACACAGGAAACCGGAAGCACCACAGGAAACCGGAAGCATCAGGGGAAACAGGAAGCATCAGAGGAAACCGGAAGCATCAGGGGAAACAGGAAGCATCAGAGGAAAGAGGAAGCATCAGGGGAAAGAGGAAGTATCAGAGGAAACAGGAAGCACCACCGGAAAGAGGAAGCATCAGGGGAAAGAGGAAGTATCAGAGGAAACAGGAAGCACCACAGGAAAGAGGAAGCATCAGAGGAAATAGGAAACATCAGAGGAAAGAGGAAGCATCAGAGGAAAGAGGAAGCATCAGTGGAAATAGGAAGCACCACAGGAAAGAGGAAGCATCAGAGGAAATAGGAAACATCAGAGGAAAGAGGAAGTATCAGAGGAAACAGGAAGCACCACAGGAAAGAGGAAGCATCAGAGGAAATAGGAAGCATCAGAGGAAAGAGGAAGTATCAGAGGAAACAGGAAGCACCACAGGAAAGAGGAATCATCAGAGGAAATAGGAAACATCAGAGGAAAGAGGAAGCATCAGAGGAAAGAGGAAGCATCAGAGGAAAGAGGAAGCATCAGAGGAAAGAGGAAGCATCAGAGGAAAGAGGAAGCATCAGGGGAAATAGGAAGTATCAGAGGAAAGAGGAAGCAGCAGAGGAAATAGGAGACATCAGAGGAAAGAGGAAGCAGCAGAGGAAATAGGAAGCATCTGAGGAAATAGGAAACATCAGAGGAAAGCATCAGAGGAAAGAGGAAGCAGCAGAGGAAAGAGGAACCAGCAGAGGAAATAGGAAGCATCAGAGGAAAGAGGAAGCATCAGGGGAAATAGGAAGTATCAGAGGAAAGAGGAAGCATCAGAGGAAAGAGGAAGCAGCAGAGGAAATAGGAAACATCAGAGGAAAGAGGAAGCAGCAGAGGAAATAGGAAGCATCTGAGGAAATAGGAAACATCAGAGGAAAGCATCAGAGGAAAGAGGAAGCAGCAGAGGAAATAGGAAACATCAGAGGAAAGAGGAAGCAGCAGAGGAAATAGGAAGCATCAGAGGAAAGAGGAAGCATCAGGGGAAATAGGAAGTATCAGAGGAAATAGGAAGCATCAGACGAAAGAGGAAGCATCAGGGGAAATAGGAAGTATCAGAGGAAAGAGGAAGCATCATAGGAAATATTAGAAGAAGCAGGAAGCAGCAGAGGAAGTATCAGATGAAGCAGGAAGCATCAGAGGAAATAGGAAGCATCAGAGGAAACGGGAAGCACCAGAGGAAACGGGAAGCATCAGAGGAAAGAGGAAGCATCAGAGGAAAGAGGAAGCATCATAGGAAATATTAGAGGAAGCAGCAGAGGGAAATAGGAAGTATCAGGGTGCAGCTGGAGCAGACCCACCAATGTTCTTCAGGAAGTACTCTCTGCACAGGTGGAGGTCGTTATCACAGGAAACCAGGAGGATCTCAGGAAGGTTCTGGAAGACAAACACCACAGGCCTTCAGTCAGGGAGCCATTAATGGTTCTTCTCTAACTGGGATCAGAACCAGAACCAGAACCTTGTTCTGCTGGTGCTCCATTATCTTCCTGTAGGACGGCTGTTTGCTCAGCAGCTTCCCTCCAGCGCTCTCCAGGATGGCCTTCATGGTGCCCAGGCTGGGGCAGACGCCTGGAGTCAGGTAGAACAGCTTCCCCTGGGAGGCCACACAGAACCGGGTCAGACAAACCAGAACCTGAGCTGCCGACAGAACCGCTGAGGTCCACCTCTGAGCTTCATCTGAAAAGGAGAGCGTTAGAGAGGTGTCCACTGAATGGACCCATCTCTCCATCTCCTCTGTCCTAAATCTAGACTCTCTAGTTCTAGAAAGACCAGCTAAACCTCAGAGCTCATTGATGGGAAAGTTCTGATCCGATTCAGAGGCGGTTCTGACCTTGAACAGAGGTGATGCGTGGGCTCTCTTCAGTGAATCCTCCAGGTTGAAGCTGAACAGAACCTCTGCTTCTGCATCCCTCAGGGTGAAGCTCTGCTCATCTGGAACAGAACAAAACATCAATCCAGAACCAGCAGAACCTCTGGAATCATGAATCCAGAACCAGCAGAACCTCTGCCTCACCTACGAACTGCTGCTTCCTCCAGCTCTCCTCCAGCCACTCCGGGGTGACGATGTGTCGCACCACAGACATGGCGGTGAGGAACTTGACGGTTCTGGTCACCTTGCTGGCCAGCAGGTGGGTGGCCCTCTGGCTGCTTTCTGCCACCTCCCCCCCCAGCGCCTGCAGCCTCTGCACACACAGACAGAACTCAGGCCCGACGCGGCAGGAACCGGGCCGCGGCCCGCTACCGAGATCCGCTTACCTTGGTGAACTGCTGGACCTGCATGGGCTCGAAGCCCGTGAACATGACCCGAGGCGTGGACTCTGGAGGAAGCTTCCTGCCGGGGGACTGGATCTCCTCCAGTCTACACAAAGACAGACACCGTTAACCCAAAGCGGATCAGAACAGCCCACCCAGAAGGCTGGTTCTGGTGGCCCACCTGGCCTTCTTGTTTGACGTTGGGTTGGTAGAATCAGAGATCTTGCGCTTCTGGAGCAGCTGGAGGTTCTGCACGGCACAAACACAGCAAAGGGAAACCACATGATCCAGAACCAGAACTGCCAGGTCCGGCGTCTACTGCAGTGAAGCTAACGGCTGCTGAACCGTTTCTAGAGTTTAGAGGCTGAATAACCAAGCTCAGAACCGGGGTCCAGTTCCAGCAGGAGCTCGGTTCTGCTAAGGTTTAGCTTTAAGGATGAAGTGAAGCCGACTCACCAGCAGAGCTTCAGGCGTCACTTTGATTGGAGTTCTCCAGGGAGCTGAAAGACCAAAAACCCTTTCAGTACCAGCAGAACCTGAGGACCATCCTATCAAGCAGTTAGACTCTGTAGAACCTGCAGGGTGGGACTTGGTTGGTTGGTCAACCTGCTCCCTGATCTGACCCGGTTTTAACACCAGAACTCCCACTGGCCGCCAGTTTCACGGCTGACATTTTTCCCAATGAAACGCATTAGTAGTGATGATGTCATCACCTGAGATGGCCCGTTGTGGATGTGTAAACCTTAAAACAGGTCTAATATTCAATTCAATTCAATTCAGTTTATTTATATAGCGCCAAATTCACAACACATGTCATCTCAAGGCACTTTACAGTTCAACCAGATCATACAGTCAAATAATATATATTGTTCAAAGGCTGTGTTGTTTGCTATTATTATTTATGATCTAAATTTATATCAAAAATAAATCCGTAGAGTGAGACTGTTTTACTACACAGGTTCAAAGTTTGAAATTACAATTTAATTTACAGAAATTGATTGATTCCTCCCAAACATTTCCCGCCGATCACCTTTTCACATTAATGACAGACGTAATATGAGTTTTTTGTGCAGCGCTGAAGCTCCTGGTGCTGCTTTCTTTAAACCTCGCCAAGCTGCTCTACTGCGGGGGAGGGGCTGGAAGCCTGCGGTTTGCCCGCCACTGTTTTACCAGTTCAAAGATAAAATCTCTGCGTGAAAAAGTGACCTTCAAACATCTCCTGAACAAAACCAAGGCGTTTATAGCTGATATTTCCAGGAGATCGTAAATATCAGCCACAGGCCGACTTCGCGTCGCAGCTTTTACAGAATCCTTTCTAATCATCTGATCCGACTCATCCAGCCCGACCTGCGTGGTTAGCGTGGACTGAGGGCTCTGGTTTGGGCCGCTGAGTGGACCGGCTGATGTGTGCTTGAACAAGTTATACTATAGTCTGATGGGTCACTGATACGTCTGCGTTTTCTGCGCTCAGAATCTGAGCCGCCCCCCCCGTCCTCCTCATCGGTCTCTCCCTCTCCGCCCGAATCGCTATCATCAATATTTTAAAGCATTTCTAAAGCCTGTTTCATGGTTAAATTTCTTCTGAAAGAGTTCTTGGTAGAATGTTGGTTGCTAGGCAACGGTACCGAACGTCAATCATCCTCAGGAAGAGCCGTCAAAATGATGGCTGTGGTAGATTTAGGTAGAGTTAGCTATATTTAGTTTTTACGTTTTAATTTTATTTTAAAAACTACGTGAAAATGAAGGAAATAGAGAAACAGAAAAAGTTAGTAAACATGAGCAACATGTGTTTAATGTAAATAAAGTTATTTCCCTTTATAATCTCAGAACCGTCTAAATGACGGCCAGAGGGAGTTCCAGTGTTAAAGTGATATAAAGGCTAAAAATGAAGAATGGACGTGTCCCAATGTCCGCCCTAACCCCTCCATCACTAGTGCCTCATTTAAAGGAGATAAATTCATTAAATCACTAAAAAAGAATTAGTTTTAGGTATAAATAATGATCCATTAATTATTCCTGGCTGACCGGAAGCCACCTAATGTAGTTGCTTCTAAAATTACTGTCCAGAATGTTTAGAGCAGAGATCACGGATTAGCGGCCCCACCTGCTGGCTAATCCAGAACTTAACCTGATTTAAAACTTTTATAACTTACTGCATGTTGTCAACTTCTTCAGTTATGTTGGCCTGAGAGGTTCAGTATTTAAATGATTTAAATCATATTTAGAAAAGAGAACTTTTTCAGTTCATCTTGACCGATGCTGTTCTGAGGCCTAACCTTTAAAGTATGGCGTCCCCCAAGGACCAATTCTAGGTCCTATTTTGTTTATTTTGTATTTACTGCCTCTCGGTCAGATTTTCCATAAGTTTGGTGTTTCTTTTCATTTCCTTGCAGATGATGTTCAGATTTATTTGCCCCTAAACTACAAAATGGGGGAAATGAATCTCTTCAGCTATTGATAGATTGTTTAGCTGAAGTCAAATCTTGGATGGAACAGAACTTTCTTCATCTTAATCAAAGTAAAACTCAAGTTATATTATTTAGTCAGAATCTTCATATTACGAATCCAGATCTGATTCTTGGTTCTTTAGCTCGGTTTTGTCAGACCTCTGCTAGGAATCTTGGTTTTACTTTTGACAGCTGATAGATAAACAAGTTAGATAAACAAGTTAGCTCTGTTGTTAGATCAAGTTTTATCACCTGCGGAGTTTAGCAAAAATTAAATCCTATTTTTGAAGGAATAATCAATGCTTTCATTACATCCCGGTTGGATTACTGCAATTCATTATATAGAGGCATGGATAAATCAGCAGCGACTCCAATTGATCCAGAACGCAGCGGCTCAGCTTCGGCTGAAACGGGTTGTTGAATAATGACTTTGTTATCGTAATATTACGACTTTATTCTCGTAATAGAAGAAAAAGAATCTCTAGCCTGACCCTAACACTCTGTCGTTAAGGGATACCTGCTTCTCTGGAAGCTGTTTTATCTCTAGTTTTCTGTTGGTTTCTTTTTGCTGTGATGTTCTCTGTTTTCTGATCATATCTCATCAGGTGTGGAAGCAGGTTCCTAGGAGTTACTGTAGATCTTTTGTGTCTATTTTTGCTTTTAAATTTTCTCTTTTCATGCACTCTTTCCTGTCTTTCTCTCTTCTCATCTCCCTTTCCATCTGTTATATTCGTTTTTCTCCGTAAATAACTTTCATTATTGAATCCATCACTGTTTCCATCCACACGACCTTCGGACCCTCGTATGAGAAGGTCTCTATATGGTGCTCTGTAGGGGTTAGGGCGGGCCTTCAAACACAACCTTTATTGACAAACTCTATATTAGCGACTGAGAGCAAATGGAGGCAGCAGAAGAAGAAACTCATCCGATGTGAGGCTCTATAACCTGCTGTGAACGTCCCCGCACCTTATCGGACGGACGGGTTCGGGGGGACCTACCTAGCAGGTTCTGGACCAGCTGGGGGTTGGGCATCAGCGGCTCCGGCTGGTTGAACACGGAGTATCTGCTGTGCTGGATCTGTCGCAGGGCTTCAAAGTTCCCCAGCAGGATGTCACAGAGCCACTGAGCGTTGACACACGGGATCTTCCATTCCTTGGCCTTCTCATACTTCATCCCGCTGGGTCTGAGGACAGAGGAGCATCAGAACACCACGTAGCTCCATGCTGGAAAGCAGAGGTCCGCTCTTACTCTTTGCAGATGAGGACGGTGTTCCCGCGGCACAGGTAGCCGGTGTATCTGGCACCGGCCAGGTAGGCCATCAGCTTCAGGTCGTCCCTGTCTGCGTCCACGAAGCCCGTCACCGCCAGGATCTGCAGGACAGAACCAGGACACCTGTTCAACTCCACCTGCTGGTTCATCAGGTTTCTAACCCCGAAATCCCACATCCTCCGTCGGCGCTCCGCTGCAGACTGCTCGCCCATATTAGAGCCTACAGCTTCCACTGTTCCTCCCATCTGACTTCCTAGGAGCTCGAGGAGAGCATGGCTATATTATTGTTATGTTGTTACACGCATCAGACCAACTTTACCACCGAGCAGCAAAGATGCTTCAGCACAGGCACATCCCACGAGGAGGAGGACCAGGACGCCATGGAGGGAGTATGTTTCTCTGCTGAGGCTGCTGCCCGGGCCGGGAGAAAGAGGAGGAAGACGAGTCTACTAGCTCTGACCACTCAGTAGAAACCCTGATCCACCATGAAGGTAGGAACCCATCATGGTGGATGTGATTCATGGCGTGGAGTCGCCACTGACCCTGAGTTTACCAACATGCAGTAATCAGAGTCACGCCTGCTGCGGTTCAGCCAATCAGAGAAGAGGCAGAGGAGCGGCAGCTGGACTCACGTGCTGAGAGCAGGGTTTGGCTCCAGGAGGGAAGGCGAAGGGCAGATGTAGCGTCCGATGAGGAGGAACCATCTTCTTCTTCTTCAGCACCGTGCTGAGCCAGTGAGCAGTCACACAGCGTTTCCCTTCTCGGAGGGCCTTTCAAAGGAAGCAGAATCAGAACAATAGCGGCTCAATAATCAGACACAAGCGAAGCTAGCTTAGAGCTGCGCAGGGAATCCATGTAGCATCCGATTATTGGATTGGATTAAAGGGGGTGTGACTTTAAACACATCCAGCATGACGGCGTTACAGCGAACGCTGTACAGCAGGTTACAGCGTTCGCCACGGACTGATGCTCTGACTCAGGCTGAACAGAGACCATTAGGCTGCAGGAGTGATGATGTCATCACAGACATGGAGCCTGTGGCTGCAGCGAGTTAGGCTAGGCTGGTCTGGGCTAAGGTTGGCTAGGCTAGGCTAAGGTGGGATAGACTAGGTTGGGCTAAGGTTGGCTAGGCTGGACTGGGCTAAGTTGGGCTAAGGTTGGCTAGGCTAGGTTGGGCTAAGGTGGGCTAGGCTAGGTTGGGCTAAGGTGGGCTAAGGTTGGCTAGGCTGGACTGGGCTAAGTTGGGCTAAGGTGGGCCAGGCTAGGTTGGGCTATGCTGGACTGGGCTAAGTTGGGCTAGGCTAGGGTGGGCTAAGGTTGGCTAGGCTAGGCTAAGGTGGGATAGACTAGGTTGGGCTATGGTTGGCTAGGCTGGACTGGGCTAAGTTGGGCTAAGGTTGGCTAGGCTAGGTTGGGCTAAGGTGGGCTAGGCTAGGTTGGGCTAAGGTGGGCTAAGGTTGGCTAGGCTGGACTGGGCTAAGTTGGGCTAAGGTTGGCTAGGCTAGGTTGGGCTAAGGTGGGCTAGGCTAGGTTGGGCTAAGGTGGGCTAAGGTGGGCCAGGCTAGGTTGGGCTATGCTGGACTGGGCTAAGTTGGGCTAGGCTAGGGTGGGCTAAGGTTGGCTAGGCTAGGTTGGGCTAAGGTAGGCTAGGTTGGACTGGGCTAAGGTTGGTTAGACTAGCTTGGCTAGGCTAGGTTGGGCTAGCCCTGCCCCCTCATCAATGTCTGCCACCTCTATTAAGTTTTCTAAACCTATTCTTTGAACAAACGGTTTCTGCTTTAGTTGGATGGAGTATAGAGATGACATTAGGATCATTCTCTCTAACAGCAGGACAAAGAACATATTTTTGGGTTTTTGCTCGCCATCTTTTTTCTGCGCTCACTTTAAGTAATCTTGTTCGTTATATATGTTATAACTAATCCTACTGAAATGGAAGATCTTAATGGATTCAGCTGAAGGTCTTCTTTGTGACGTTTTTATTTTCTTAGAGAATTATATCGCACAGACTGAACTTCAGAGTCCAGAGACCGGTGAACCGTCTACATTAAAGCAGGGTTCTGCAGCAGAACCGGGTCAGCTGGGGTCCATTCCTACCTGGACATACATGTTGCTGACTTGACTCTCACACAGCAGGTGGGTGCAGCGGCTGGTCAGGGTGGGGTCCACCAGCCCCCCACAGGCCTGGATGACCTAGAACAGCAGGTAGGAGAACATGGTGAACATCTCCGCCTCATTGCTGGGTTCCTGCTGCTCAGAGGATGAGGTTCCTACCCGCTTCCATGTGGCCAGGAGCTGCTTGTCAGCCATCTGTTCAGGGTAGTCAGCGATGGCGAACACGCAGCCCAGCAGGAAGCCGTCCTGAGGAACTGAGGACAGAGCAGAGCTTAGTCAACATGGAGTCTGGGGGCTAGGACCTCCTTCTCCTCTGGCTGTACTCACTTTCTTGGCCTAGCTCATGTCCAAAGAGCTGGCTGAAGTGTGGAGGCTGTTGCTGCTGCATGGCCTGCTGCTGCAGGGCCTGCTGGTTCTGCTGCTGCAGCACTTGCTGCTGCTGCTGCTTCTGCATCTGCTGCAGATGCTGCTGCTGTTGTAGGAAATGTTGCTGCTGCTGCTGCTGCTGCTGAAGATGCTGTTGGTGAAACTGTTGATTCTGCTGCTGCTGCTGCAACATCTGCATGCGCTGCTGCTGCTGAAACTGCTGCTGCAGCTGGTGCTGCAGTTGCTGCAGGCCCGGTCTGAGGAGCTGCTGCGGTCGCAGCTGCTGCTGGGAGAACATCTGCTGCTGCTGCTGCAGAAACTGCTGGTGCTGCTGCTGGGGGAAATTCTGCTGCTGCTGCTGCTGCTGAGCAACCTGTGGCTGCTGCTGCTGCAGCTGCAGCATCTGCTGCTGCGGGAGGTGCATCATGGGATGTGGTGGTTGCTGTGGTAACTGCTGATGCTGCTGCCCAGCCTGGTGAGCCTGCTGTAGCAGTTGCTGCTGCTGCTCCGCTGTGAGCGTCTGTCTGGACAGCTTACTCTGGCTGAACTGAGGGGGGTTGGTGCCGCCCAGCGTCTGAACAGTCGGGTTCATCTGCTCCGCTGGCTTCGTCTGACTGCCAGGCAAGTTTGGGAGGGTCTACGAGAAGGGAAAGGCCAAGATGTAAGTCAGAAAGCTCCTGAATGAAGCCCTGAACAAAACAAACATGATTTGGCTTCCTACAGAAGATCACAGATCGCTCTCTGAGAATCACCCCACCCTGTTCCTCTAGGTCAGAGGTCACCGATTAGCGGACCGCGGTCCAGATCCGGACCCACCTGCTGGCTAATCTGGACCCAACCTGATTTAACACGTGTATAAATTACAGGATGTTGTCCAACAGCAGAGTCTAATTTCACTTGCGCCGCTTCTCCTGGTAATACGGTAAAGCCCTCCGGAGCGTCCGGCTCCAGGCTGCACGTGATCCAAATGAGCCAATGAGCTGTAGCTCCGCCCCTTCTTGTCAGGGAGCTGTAGCTCCGCCCCTTCTCCTCCTTCTTGCTCTGATGTAGACCTAACTCCAGGTCTCCATGGGTCTGAAACGCCAACGTTTAGGAGCGGCGAGTGACCGGATTCCCAGCAGGAAGGTTGGAGGACAGCCTCTGGTGGGAGGACAGCCTCTGGTGGGAGGACAGCCTCTGGTGGGAGGACACCCTACGGTGGGAGGACAGCCTCTGGTGGGAGGACAGCCTCTGGTGGGAGGACAGCCTCCGGTGGGAGGACAGCCTCTGGTGGGAGGACAGCCTCTGGTGGGAGGACAGCCTCCGGTGGGAGGACAGCCTCCGGTGGGAGGACAGCCTCCGGTGGGAGGACAGCCTCCGGTGGGAGGACAGCCTCCGGTGGGAGGACAGCCTACGGTGGGAGGACAGCCTCTGGTGGGAGGACAGCCTCCGGTGGGAGGACAGCCTCCGGTGGGAGGACAGCCTCCGGTGGGAGGACAGCCTCCGGTGGGAGGACAGCCTCTGGTGGGAGGACAGCCTCCGGTGGGAGGACAGCCTCTGGTGGGAGGACAGCCTCTGGTGGGAGGACAGCCTCTGGTGGGAGGACAGCCTCTGGTGGGAGGACAGCCTCCGGTGGGAGGACAGCCTCTGGTGGGAGGACAGCCTCTGGTGGGAGGACAGCCTACGGTGGGAGGACAGCCTCCGGTGGGAGGACAGCCTCTGGTGGGAGGACAGCCTCCGGTGGGAGGACAGCCTCTGGTGGGAGGACAGCCTACGGTGGGAGGACAGCCTCTGGTGGGAGGACAGCCTCTGGTGGGAGGACAGCCTCCGGTGGGAGGACAGCCTCCGGTGGGAGGACAGCCTCTGGTGGGAGGACAGCCTCCGGTGGGAGGACAGCCTCCGGTGGGAGGACAGCCTCCGGTGGGAGGACAGCCTCTGGTGGGAGGACAGCCTACGGTGGGAGGACAGCCTCCGGTGGGAGGACAGCCTCCGGTGGGAGGACAGCCTACGGTGGGAGGACAGCCTCTGGTGGGAGGACAGCCTCTGGTGGGAGGACAGCCTCCGGTGGGAGGACACCCTCCGGTGGGAGGACAGCCTCCGGTGGGAGGACAGCCTCCGGTGGGAGGACAGCCTCTGGTGGGAGGACAGCCTCTGGTGGGAGGACAGCCTACGGTGGGAGGACAGCCTCCGGTGGGAGGACAGCCTCCGGTGGGAGGACAGCCTCCGGTGGGAGGACAGCCTCTGGTGGGAGGACAGCCTCTGGTGGGAGGACAGCCTCTGGTGGGAGGACAGCCTACGGTGGGAGGACAGCCTCCGGTGGGAGGACAGCCTCCGGTGGGAGGACAGCCTCCGGTGGGAGGACAGCCTCTGGTGGGAGGACACCCTCCGGTGGGAGGACAGCCTCTGGTGGGAGGACAGCCTCCGGTGGGAGGACAGCCTCCGGTGGGAGGACAGCCTCCGGTGGGAGGACAGCCTCCGGTGGGAGGACAGCCTCTGGTGGGAGGACAGCCTACGGTGGGAGGACAGCCTACGGTGGGAGGACACCCTACGGTGGGAGGACACCCTCCGGTGGGAGGACAGCCTCCGGTGGGAGGACAGCCTACGGTGGGAGGACAGCCTCCGGTGGGAGGAAAGCCTCCGGTGGGAGGACAGCCTACGGTGGGAGGACACCCTCCGGTGGGAGGACAGCCTCCGGTGGGAGGACAGCCTCCGGTGGGAGGACAGCCTCCGGTGGGAGGACAGCCTACGGTGGGAGGACAGCCTACGGTGGGAGGACAGCCTACGGTGGGAGGACAGCCTCCGGTGGGAGGACAGCCTACGGTGGGAGGACAGCCTACGGTGGGAGGACACCCTACGGTGGGAGGACAGCCTCTGGTGGGAGGACAGCCTCCGGTGGGAGGACAGCCTCCGGTGGGAGGACAGCCTCCGGTGGGAGGACAGCCTCTGGTGGGAGGACAGCCTCTGGTGGGAGGACAGCCTACGGTGGGAGGACAGCCTACGGTGGGAGGACACCCTCCGGTGGGAGGACAGCCTCCGGTGGGAGGACAGCCTCCGGTGGGAGGACAGCCTCCGGTGGGAGGACAGCCTACGGTGGGAGGACAGCCTACGGTGGGAGGAAAGCCTCCGGTGGGAGGACAGCCTACGGTGGGAGGACAGCCTACGGTGGGAGGACAGCCTCCGGTGGGAGGACAGCCTACGGTGGGAGGACAGCCTACGGTGGGAGGACACCCTCCGGTGGGAGGACAGCCTCCGGTGGGAGGACAGCCTCCGGTGGGAGGACAGCCTCCGGTGGGAGGACAGCCTCCGGTGGGAGGACACCCTCCGGTGGGAGGACAGCCTCTGGTGGGAGGACAGCCTCCGGTGGGAGGACAGCCTCTGGTGGGAGGACAGCCTACGGTGGGAGGACAGCCTACGGTGGGAGGACAGCCTCCGGTGGGAGGACAGCCTACGGTGGGAGGACAGCCTCCGGTGGGAGGACAGCCTCTGGTGGGAGGACACCCTCTGGTGGGAGGACAGCCTACGGTGGGAGGACAGCCTCCGGTGGGAGGACAGCCTCTGGTGGGAGGACAGCCTACGGTGGGAGGACAGCCTACGGTGGGAGGACAGCCTACGGTGGGAGGACAGCCTCCGGTGGGAGGACAGCCTACGGTGGGAGGACAGCCTCCGGTGGGAGGACAGCCTCCGGTGGGAGGACAGCCTACGGTGGGAGGACAGCCTCCGGTGGGAGGACAGCCTACGGTGGGAGGACAGCCTACGGTGGGAGGACAGCCTCCGGTGGGAGGACAGCCTACGGTGGGAGGACAGCCTCCGGTGGGAGGACAGCCTACGGTGGGAGGACAGCCTCCGGTGGGAGGACAGCCTACGGTGGGAGGACAGCCTACGGTGGGAGGACAGCCTCCGGTGGGAGGACAGCCTCCGGTGGGAGGACAGCCTCCGGTGGGAGGACAGCCTACGGTGGGAGGACAGCCTCCGGTGGGAGGACAGCCTACGGTGGGAGGACAGCCTACGGTGGGAGGACAGCCTCCGGTGGGAGGACAGCCATGTTTACTTACATGAGGTCCGGCAGGCCGGCCCAATGGTTGCATGTCCGAGTTGTTGGTGATGTTGCGCAGCGTCCTGATGGTCGGCCTCCATCCAGGGATTCCCTCTGGGCCCGCCACCCCTAAGGCAGAGAAACAAACCCTTGTTAGCAGGTTGGACATTTTGTCCTGCAGACGCCATAGCGCCCGGCTCTACCGACCTTGCTGCGCAGCACGAGCCTCTGCAGGCATGGCCCCCCCACTGCCAGGAACAGGAGGCACCGTCTCGTAGAGGTTAATCAGCCCAGAGCCCGTAGACGACACCGGATCCTTGCAGCCGGCCGGCCCGATGCGCCGCCTCACCACGCCAGACGGAATCTCAGCGGGTGTCCAGTTCAGGTTGGTACCCTCCTTCTCTGTGGAGTCATCGTCGTCCGAGTCGTCGAACATCCTCTCGCTGCGGAGCTCGGGTTTTCTGGGAGAGGCCGGTGACAAAGAGCTGAGCCGTTTGGGTCCGGGCCGTCGGCGAGGACTGGACTCTTCACCCGACGACGCGCCGCTGGACGGCCGGGAGCGCTGGGGGCTGTAGCTACCATTTGAACCATAGGACTCTGCCTCGCTCTCCTCCTCCGGCTCCACGTAGGTCAGTCTGGGGTGATACAGTGTCTCATCCTTTCTGCTTTTATCTAGGAAAGGCAGAAAACAGCTGCAGAGTCAGGACCGAGCGGTTCATCCGAAACCCCAGAGGTCAGAGGTCATACTGTAGTCCAGCAGTGGAGCCAGGAAGCTTCCCGTCCTGCGGGTTGTTGGGTTACCTTTAACAGAATCTGTGATCCAGTCCGGAGTGACGATCCTGATGCTCGGGTGTTTCAGAGCACATTCAAACTTTGCCTGAAAACAGGAGGATGATGTCAGAAACTTCGACCTTCCCTGACAGACCAGCTGACGACTAAACCGTCACAACCAACGACTTCAGCAGCATTCGCTCCCCTTAAGCCGGGCATACGCTGTGCAGTATTTTTGATCGTCATAAAAAAGCTCACAATGTTTATTCTCACACTGTGCCACCCCACGCTCTGATGCGATCTACCTGCTCACACTGTACGTCTAAAAACCAGCCATCGGACGCAGCGCCGAGAGATGGTGCTGGTCAGACCCGTGAGTCTGGATGAAGAAGAATTCCCTTTGCTCATGCTCAGTGCTGGAGGTTCTGGTAGATTGGCTCGTAGTCCTGCTTCAACAGCAGGATTTACCCACCAACACCTTACGATGGCCGACTGAATTTCATGTTTGATTTTCTCCCAACCTCACGATTACTGATGGGGAGGCGGTCCTTAGTAGCCTGACGTAATCCTACTCAATAGGGGGTTTTCAGTGACGTCACTGGCCAGCTTCCGGTCCGCCATCTTGGGTGGCATATTATCGTATATCATATATATCATGTCGCGAATGGATAAGTACGCCAGCACGCTAGAGCCACCAGATCATGGAACATATCTGAGGAAATGTTCCGTGATCGACCATATGGACCCCTATGCCCTCCACGGTGCCTTGTTTAGCACTAATCCAGATGATTGGCCAAATGTAGAGCACGGCGACATAGTTCATTACCTGGTGTTCAGTGAAAACCCTCTGCACACTCTGGAGGGAATGAGAGCGTACAAGGGTCTAGAGGCTCACAACCGGTTCACATCTGGTTGGGTACGAGATGTCGAAGTGATGTACATGAAGGAAATCGCCATCATACATGGACGGGTGAGTTTTAATAAGATGGTAAAAATGTAAACAATCCGACGCAGGGCTCGCTATGCTAGGTGGCTAACGGCCGGCGGTGCGCGAACAGTTCTAAAGCTACAAGTCCTTGGAGTCTCATGTGCAGTTTACGAATGGATGGGTTCAGGAGCTGCAGCTCATAAAGCCAGCAAACAGTGCTAACCGTTAGTGCTAACAACCACTCAGGCATGTAATGTACTTTTAACTAGCTGCTATGTGTTTCAAAGGTTTGGTTAGTAACGTTAACTGCCAAACCTCCCTAAACCCTCCGGGTTTCTCACATATTTGAGCCTTTTCCCGCAGGTTGAAATCAAGTTAAGGTGAAATTTATCAAATTAAAACACGGCTGAGAGAGGGAGTCCAGTACGCGGTGGTCATAGGCAGTAGTCTGAGTAGCGGCGGCGGAGACGGTCAACATTGCTGCTACGGAAAGTAATACGTCATGACGCCCAAGTCCTATTATTAAAATATTCTTACATGTTTTAAATGCTTGACAGTTAATTACCTGTGACAAAGTGAGCACTGCAGACTCTGGCGTATTCCAGCTTCACACCGTCCAAATCGGACCTGGATATCCGTGTCAGCCATAGGTGACGGTGTTGTTCAGATAGCTGTTTTGTTTTTTCACATTGATTCACGATTACGGCTGGTATGCGATAGAAAGAGCGTTGATCTCCACCTCCACGGGCCGTGCAACCAACAATTACACACGATTTCACCATTTTTCACTGTCAATACTGCCTAAGGCTGCCACCCAATATGGCGGACGCGCTGAGTAGTCACGTGAGCGTGACGTCACCTGAAAACCCCCTATTCTAGTCAGAATATGAGTCTGATTCTGCTCCATAGAGCTGTGATTATGGGGCGTGTTTTGAACGAACCAGGAAAAAAAATGCCTCTGCACTCAATTGGATAGATCTACAACCAATAAGAGCAACGGAGTGCGTGACGTATGTTAAGCGACGCATAGTTGTTGTCAACAAAAATCAAAGCGTGCAGTTGCATGCCTAGAATAAGAAGATTAGCCTTGATCGCGTTTCTCTGTTCCTCTTTTAAAATTAATTTGCTGTCGATATCTTCTAGAACAGACCTAATAGCAGAATCTACTCACCTCAACTCTCCATCGGCAGCCATTGTTGTTGATTACGTTACTGTTGATCATCTGTCCATCATCGTATAAAGCCCGCCCTGACAATTTGATTCGCCCGCCAGATATTGTGCCAGCATACTCGCGCTACTGCTGGGCAATGCCAGACCGAACTTCCCGACCTCAAACGTTGTGGGCGGGACTAAGTTCAGAATTGCACCCAGGCTAGGTCCTTAGAGGCTGATCGCCCCTCGTTACCTCCTGTACGCTTCGCGATGCACGGTGAGGCTGAAAGTCGGCCCGAACGGAAAAATTCTGGCACGACTGGACAATCGGCCCAAAAAGGGCAAAAAAAAAAAAATCATGCAGGGTACGCCCGGCTTTAAACATCTAGTTTGCTCTAAGTGGGTCAAAACAAACTAAAGTAGCAGAGTGAAGTACAGTGGAGGAGTGTGATTAGATTCAGCCGTGGAGTCAGAACTTTGTAGAACCTCCTTTCCCTTTAACCTCACAGGAGGTTTGACTCCATTCTCCACCAAAATGTTTTTGTTGTGTGGCGATAAATAAACCATCCGCAGAACTAGTTTAACATACATGCGAGTATGTTTATTTTGCTCGTGGGTGTGGCTCCACTAGTTCAGTAGCTCCGTCCCTTCTCCCTCTTCTCATCAGGGAGCTGTAGCTCCGCCCCTTTTTGTCAGGGAGCTGTAGCTCCGCCCCCTCTCCCCCTCTTGCCCTGATGCAGACCTAATTTAAATGGTAAATGGCATGTACTTATATAGCGCCTTTATTCAAGTTAGGAGACTTGACCAAAGCGCTTTACACTACATTTATTCACCCATTAACGCACACACTCACACACTGATGGTAGCAATCTACATTGTAGCCACAGCTGCCCTGGGGATCACTGACAGAAGCGGGGCTGCCGTACACTGGCGCCACCGGGCCCTCTAATTTCAGGTCTCCATGGGTCTGAAACGCCAACCTTTATTTCGCTCGCGGGTGTTTTGAAGTAAATCTGACATCATGCAGAACATCTGAGGTCATTGGGTTCAAGGCTGGGGCTGCCGCTACCAATTATTTATGCTAATCGAATAATCTGTCGATTATTTTTTCAAAAGTTCCTTGAAGATTTTCCACAGAATGTAATGATGTGAAACTAAAACTTTTCTACTTGATGAGTTCTAATAGAGCACATTGAAAGATGAAGTGTTTTTATTTTAAATACTAAATATTTCTATATTTTATCATAATGATGGTATATTGTCTGTTCTAGATTGTAGAACTTACCCCCTTTGGCTCCTTCACCACCAGGTGAGTGACCCGCTTATTTAGGTTCAGCTGGCATTCACCTCCATGAAAGGTGAGCAGAGCCCACAGGGCGTCCAGATCTTCAGGAAGCTGCGTACCGACACACACACACACACACAGAGCATAATATGATGATGCTAGCCTTCATCACATGAGGCACAAAGCTACACAGAACATTGAATCTGCAGAATCTTACCCTGGGAAGACAAGCTGTGACTCCAAAGAAGATCTGTCCTGATTCTGGAGAGAATCCGGTCACTCTGGAGATTCACCGTCAAAAAAAACTACTAAGCCGAAATGAAGGCATTACCTGCACTAAAAGGCTAGGCTAACCCACGGTTCTTACTCGTGTTTTAATAAGGCCCCCGTTACACCTCGGTGATTGATCCAGCGTCTCTCTGATGTCCCAGAATCTCCTAAAAATCTGGAATACGCTGAACTTTCTATGGATTTCCTCTATTCTGGGCGAATACGTAGAGGATTAATAACGAGAATTTCTGTCCAACGACAGCCTAACATCTGCATAACACACGGCAGGAAATGATGCACAGTGTCCTGAGGGGGGCAGCGATGCGCCCAGAGGCACCCGGCCTAGAGAAGATTTCTTTGATCGCGGTGTTAACCTAGCTGCTGTTTAGTGCCCGCCAAAAACGGACGGACGAACGGACGGACGAAAGAAAGAACTATATTATTATTACATTAATAGGAGCAAAATCTGCGGAAATGAACGTTTTAATTTAATGAAATATTTAAAATCTTCTCATCAGCATCCAGATGTTCAGTTTCTGCCCAAATATTTTCTTTTTGTTGTGAATTTTTGTGACAGGGATTAACCAGGATCATCCATGGTTTGAATAAACTGTTTATTTTCTTTATAAACTCAGCATCTCTTCATCCATTCCTGCAATAAGAAGTTTCCTTTGACTGGATTTGATGAAACTTTTAAGCCTCTCAGTATAAAATCAATATTCTGATCTAGATGAGAAATCTGCTTCCTGTTTAAGCACCAATAGTTTGCATCCAATCATTCAATGAAACTTTCTTAGTTTTGGGTAATTAATAAAATTTATGCCGTAATCTGCAGTTACCGATCTATTGTTACTATATTTTAATTTGACGAACCGGATCTCCTCGACGTTCTTTTCCCTGTTTGCGATGGCAATAGCGGATCTTGACCGGACCATATGTTGATGGTGACGGACGGAGAAGACGTAGATGGACGGAGACATGCGGAGGAGTAGCGGTGGACGTGGAACGGTTCTCATTGGTTAACATGACAGACAGATACTCCGCCTGACGTACGGGAGCGGAGCGCCGACAGAGGATGAGGAATCTGGGGGTTACACTGAACGCATGTCAACCATCAGATAACTTACCTGTAACTTATGCCCCAGGTATGATCATGCGCTTGGACACGTCAGGTACATTTTGAGCATGGCGTACTCGCCGAATGCCGACACGTGCCAGTGTATTTCAGCGTGCTCCTAACTTACACATCGTACCCATAAATTATCCAACGTATGGCAGCGTTTCTGCCAGATGTGCCGGACATCAGGCATACGCTGGTCTGAAACGTCCAGGTGTGAGAGGTACAGTGACCTGATGTTTAAAGGATACGGTAACAGATCTCCACATCTAACGGACAGGATCACCCAGGAAGGCTGCAAAACAAGAAGCACATATGATAAGTTTGAACCGTTACGAGTTCAGTCTGATCCCCACATCTTCATTTAGACCCAGTCTATCAGAGGCTGTGATGACCTCCTGCTCACAGGCGCCATATTAATGAATGTAAGCAGGTCCAATCGTCCTGCTCTGGGCGGATGCACGTTCAAAACTCAGGATGCAAAGCAGGAGCGAGGAGGAGGTTCTCTCCTCTATCAATCATTTGGGGCAATGTGAGATCTTTAGCAAACAAGTTGAAAGAACTCCGAGTCCTAGTCATTAAAATCTTTAAAATCTCTAGTTCCAGTGGGGTGAAATAGGCACTTCCTGTTTGCTGTTGTCATGGTGACTCGTCGAATCGCTGTTCCACTGATGATGGCGTTTCATACTTGTTACGCAGGCGCTTAACTCTGAGTGGACCAAGTTAAAACTGATTGAAAAACTGATTTAAAGAAAGTATTTTTTTTTTATAGAGATTTTTGGGACAATATGGTCTGATAAAGATTCCATTTATATACAGTTTTAAGCCAGAATGACATTTAAATCTGAGTTCCCTACGACTTTAAATGCAGCAATGTAGGGCAGCACCAAGGAAAACAGTCTGGTTACCTTAACCACAGGCAGGTCAAAAACCTCCCGTGATTCGCTGACTTCAGGGCTGTCGCCATCCTCTGCGATGATGTGAGTGGCCAAAGCATTGTAGGAAACCTCCTTTCCTTTTCCTGCCTTCAGCAGCTGAACCACCTGGAGAAAAGAGCAGAGCACTGCTGCCTCAGAGCGTAGCAGCTCAAGTATCACTGGTTACACCTGCAGACATATCCACACTCTGCTCCAAAAACAGGCCTGCTGTTTTCAGGATGTATAACAAGAAATATCCTGAATCCACAGCAGAGGAAGCCGAAAACCAACCTATGGATGCAAAACCTTTTATATGCACCTCTGTGCAAAACCATCCAGATCCAGAATTCAAACCGGGGAGTGAACCCCGCAGAAGGTTCGCCCAACGACTCCCTCTGCTCACCTCCTGTCCTTTAGGGCCCATAGGCCTAATGTTTGTTTAAACATAAAACCATAAAACGTCCCTTTACTGGTTAGAAGTAGGGTTGGGTGATATATTGAATAAACTCAATGTATCTCCAGTTTTCCCACGCATGATAGTTAGAACGACTCCATCGCAGCCATCGAGTACAAACTTGGACGACCACATTAAGCCCTCTGCATGTTTTTCACTGAGTTTTTTCCCCACACACCTTGAATGCATCATAACCCCTCCTCCAAACAGGATTATTTTCATGGCGACAGCAGATGTTTCCGCTGACCGATATGCAGCAGCGGTTTAGATTTCCCGCTGAGGACGTCGAACCAAAGCTGCTAATTTTTAAACCATTGCTACTAAAGGTAGCGATAAAACTTTATTCCACCACCTAAAGTCATCCGCTGCTAAATGAAGAATGTTGTAATGTAAACTTTGCATGTCAGCGTTTCCCCGCTCACCAATTAAAAAGGAGGGAAATCCCAGACGCCGTTTATGACGTTATTGAAATGTTTATTAGTTGCTCTAATGCCTGCGGTGTGAGACTTTCCAGGTGTTCGCTAAACTTGGAAATGTTCTCAAAGTTTTGTGCTTCTTTAAATTTCCCAGCAGGTAAAGATCAGCTGATGGTTTGGAGATGCTCTGATAATTCTCTAATTTTTAGGACTTTTGTTTTCGCAATTTTAGGTAAATTTTTTTCAGTCCGCTTTTTTCATTATGCACAAAAGAGTCCATTTTTATTTTGCATTTTATCTAGTATTGTACGACGGAGTATTAGGGCCAGGCTAGTTATTTTTCTTTTACGAGAAAAAAGTTGTAATATTACGAGAATGAAGTCATCATACAACATGTTGCAACTTTATTTTCATAATGTTACGACTTTATTCTCGTAATTTTATGACTATTCTCCCTGTGACTTTTTTCTCGTAATATTACGACTTTTTTCTTGTAATATTATTACTTTATTCTCGTAATGTTACGACTTTATTCCCGTAATTTTACCACTTTATTCTCATAATTTTATTACTTTATTCTCGTAATGTTACAACTTTATACTTGGAATTTTATGACTTTATTCTCGTAATTTTGCAAATTTATTCTCATAATGTTACTTTATTCTGGTAATTTTAGGGCTTTATTCTAGCCTGGCCCTAACACTCCGTAGTATCGTGTGTTTTGTCGTAGTTTCCTGTTTGGTTGCTGGGATCTTGTTAAAGGTTTTTTTCTGAACATAGACATCATGTGGCAGAAAAACTTTTAGCTGCTTAAAATAAAATAAAATCTAATTTGAAACCAAAAGTTTGAATGAGTATATTAGAGCAATTTTATTCACTCTATTGTTTTTGAAGCAATTTAAACATGTGGTGAAAATATTGTGTATCGCGATATAATCCAAATATATTGTGATATTAGATTTTCTTCATATCGCCCAGCTGCTGTGCAAACCCACCCAGGGTCCTCTGTTTCAGGTGGATTAAAACACCAAGGGGTCACCTGGACCACTGGGTCACCTGGACCAGTGTGTAAACCAGCCGTGGGTCATCTTGATGTTCATCAGCTCAGATTACAGTTTCTATTAGAACTTGCAGATCCAACATGTCCAATAAAAGCTGCAGGGCAGCTACAGGTGGGCCACCGGGCAGAGGGTTCGGGCTCAGCTTGCTCCTGGTTCAGGTTAAAACTCTGCAGGTGTTCCGGAGCCGGCATGCAGCTGGAGCCCAGGATGTAAACAGAGGAATCTGATCCCTGATCCGAGCGGCTGATCCTGGGTACAGGGGAGCATGCAGCCCGGGAGCTAACAGCTAACCAGCTGCGGTCAGACAGTAGATCCACCCGGAGGAAGAGACCGATGGAGAACCTTCTGATGTAGCATGGAATCCTGTTAGCATGCTAGTTAGCTTCCCCTCGTTCATTCCGAATGTATGCGGTAGCTTAGCATAGCTTCACGTAGCTAACAAGCTAACGTCCAGGTCCTTACCTTTGGTTCAATGTCTCCGACCACGTAGAACTTGACATCTTTGAAGAGTTCCTCAGGAACCTGGATCTCCTCCTCAGACATGGCTGTCCATGAACCGGGAGGACAGAGCTGGACAGCAGGAGGGAAGTCTGTGTGTGACTGAAGCAGCAGCAGAGAGGCGCCAAATCACTGAGCGGCGCGCGCTGTCAGAGCAGAGGGGGGCGGGGCGGGGAAAATGGCGCCGGATCTTCCTCCCGTTACCCACGGAAACGCCTCATTGGACGATGGCCGACGTGCATAGAGGGCGGCCATCTTGCATCAGACCAGAGTTCAGACAGCTGCTGTCAGAATGAACAGGAGGCGCCTTAGATCTAATTTTAATCAAAGGAAAGAGTCAGAGATAATATTACAATAATCTCTTTCATGTCAAAACCACTTAAAAGAACAAAACCAATTCTATGATGACCTTTCCGTTAGATTACACATGTTTATTCAAATAAAAAACTAAACTGGATGAGATATATGCAAAGTTATATATTTTGCAATTAAATACTGATATGATAAACACAAAGTTTTATATCAGTATAAGATTATGTTTTATATATTTTATATAGTGTATTATTATTATTCAGTTTTTTAAAGGATTGCTCTTTGATAATGAGTATTATGATCTATATAGCAAAATGTGTTGTAATGTGATTTACAAAAGAGAGTAAAGTTATTATTTTGCTTTTTGTGAATTGTGAATTTCAGTCTGGATAGACGTTTCTCATTGGTTCTACTTTGACCACACTGTTGCTCAACCTTTCTTATACCTCATCCAAAATACTCCGGTTATCATGAGCTACTATCTGCATTTGTGCTGCTATAGGCTCAGACTGCTGGAGGACATAGGAGCCAATTTTCATCTCTTTTCTCCCATTCTACAGTATTTCTTAGTTCAATCTCTAATGTTATGCTCTTTCTACTTATTCAGGCGGCCTCAGCAGATGGCCGCTCACACTGAGCCTGGTTCTACTGGAGGTTTCTTCCTGTTAAAAGGGAGTTTTTCCTCTCCACTGTCGCTGCAAGCATGCTTAGTGTGAGGGATTGCTGAAGAGTCAATGAGTCGATGTTTTCCTTAGATAGAAAACTTTGAATCAATCTGACTGGATGATCTGGGGAACTGGAAAGTGACCTGAGATGACATGATGTGAATTGGAGCTATAGAAATTAATCTGTGGTTAAAAAGAATCATTTTTTAGTTTAATGAAGGCCACTAGTTATAAAAATACGAATTTTTTATTGTAATTATTTTTGTAGACTATTTAACGTAAATTATTGGAAATTAATTTTCTAAATGTTGCAGATTATTTATGGATGTTTGTCTCCATGATTATCATTGTTTGTAGTTTATTTAATAGTATTTGTACCTTGTAATATTTAAGGGTTTTTTTTATACCTCACAGGCTGCCATAGAAAATGATGGCAGCTCCTATAAAAGCCGATAGAATCATTGAACAAATGTATGACTTGAACTGTCAAGCTGTTTGTCATCAAAGAATCAACACTTAGTGTTCCCCAGTGAAAGCAGAGAGGATCGTATTGTTTTGTTGTTTGTATAGTAAGTTAATGTTTTGTATTCTAATATTTATATATGTTTTAGTTTTCCCGATTAATGATGTAACTATGGTGACTGTGATGAGGATCTTTATCAAATAAAATAAAATGCTTAATTCACTTGTGGAGACTGGCTGAGTAACTCAAATGCTGGGGAGCTGCTTCAGGCTGTGATGATGACGGTGAGGAAGATGCAGCAGTTTCTGCTGTTGGTGGGTCTGGAAGGGTTTGGGTCAGTGTCTGGGACCAAATCATTGGTTAGTTTATCTTTGTTAAGATGATTGATGTGATTGATTTATGACCACAAAACGCGCCTGCTAAGACAGCAACAAGAACGCAAACCAGCAACTCATCGTTTAATCTGGACTTAACCATGTTACCCCCGTAACCATGCAGAAATGTCTCATTCTAATGAGTGTGTGTTCAGCACTGAACACGTGTGAGCACTGATGGAGCTGTCACACGGTTCATCTAATTAGTGCTGCTGTGGCAGCCTGACGATTGGTCAGGGGAAGGAGGAGACAGGGATTGGGTGGTGGGACTCAGGACCATGACCGATAGTGAGCATAACAGCAAGAGGCATGTCTAAAGTAATGTCTACATTTACTAGAAAGCGGGTCACCATGGAGCCGCCTCATCATGGATGTAGATGTCAGAAAGTGCTCATTCTGGTGGTGGACTTCATTTACCCACAGATCCTTCACAACGGTATGTTAACGACAGTTCACCGTTAAATATGTGTGAGCACCTGAGCGCCTGAGTGTCTGAATTTGACAGTCTGCTCAACACCTGCTAATTAATGAGGTAATAAAGCGCTGTGGAAATGATTCGCAGCCATTAAAAGGAATGAAGATGGAGGCTGCGGGTTGGATGTGCAAGAATACATCATGCAGTGACAGGTGCATAAGGTTAAACGGAAGCTGGACAATATTTTTTATCTTTACAGACTAAGAGCTTAGAAACGTTTTGCTGCCATTTATTAAAAAGGAGAATCCTGGTAAGTTTGTTGGTACTCGTTGTTCTTGTTTGGGAATCTCTTCTGTGCTCTTTATCCCATCCATTGTTCCACAGGGGGCAGGATCAGGACTAGACCAGGGGCAGGCAGCCAGAGGCAGACAGCAACAGGCAGGTAGCCAGGGGCAGGTTTCCAGGGGCAGGTAGCCAGGGGCAGGTTTCCAGAGGCAGGTTTCCAGGGGCAGGTAGCCAGGGGCAGGTTTCCAGAGGCAGGTAGCCAGGGGGTAGGTAGCTTGGGGCAGGTAGCCACAGGCAGGTAGCCACAGGCAGGTAGCCACAGGCAGGTAGCCACAGGCAGGTAGCCACAGGCAGGTTTCCAGAGGCAGGTAGCCAGGGGGTAGGTAGCTTGGGGCAGGTAGCTTGGGGCAGGTAGCCACAGGCAGGTAGCCACAGGCAGGTAGCCCCAGGCAGGTTTCCAGAGGCAGGTAGCCAGGGGGTAGGTAGCTTGGGGCAGGTAGCTTGGGGCAGGTAGCCACAGGCAGGTAGCCACAGGCAGGTTTCCAGAGGCAGGTAGCCAGGGGGTAGGTAGCTTGGGGCAGGTAGCTTGGGGCAGGTAGCCACAGGCAGGTAGCCCCAGGCAGGTTTCCAGAGGCAGGTAGCCAGGGGGTAGGTAGCTTGGGGCAGGTAGCTTGGGGCAGGTTTCCAGGGGCAGGTAGCCAGGGGCAGGTTTCCAGTGGCAGTTTTCCAGGGGCAGGTAGCCAGGGGCAGGTTTCCAGAGGCAGGTAGCCAGGGGGTAGGTAGCTTGGGGCAGGTAGCCACAGGCAGGTAGCCACAGGCAGGTAGCCACAGGCAGGTAGCCACAGGCAGGTTTCCAGAGGCAGGTAGCCAGGGGGTAGGTAGCTTGGGGCAGGTAGCTTGGGGCAGGTAGCCACAGGCAGGTAGCCACAGGCAGGTAGCCCCAGGCAGGTTTCCAGAGGCAGGTAGCCAGGGGGTAGGTAGCTTGGGGCAGGTAGCTTGGGGCAGGTAGCCACAGGCAGGTAGCCACAGGCAGGTAGCCACAGGCAGGTTTCCAGAGGCAGGTAGCCAGGGGGTAGGTAGCTTGGGGCAGGTAGCCACAGGCAGGTAGCCACAGGCAGGTAGCCCCAGGCAGGTTTCCAGAGGCAGGTAGCCAGGGGGTAGGTAGCTTGGGGCAGGTAGCTTGGGGCAGGTAGCCACAGGCAGGTAGCCACAGGCAGGTAGCCACAGGCAGGTTTCCAGAGGCAGGTAGCCAGGGGGTAGGTAGCTTGGGGCAGGTAGCTTGGGGCAGGTAGCCACAGGCAGGTAGCCACAGGCAGGTAGCCACAGGCAGGTAGCCACAGGCAGGTTTCCAGGACCAGAGATTATGGGTCCTCTCTGCAAAAGCTGAGACTACAGCTCTGAGCAGGATGAAACATGGAGGGTTGAGTGCTTTGGTCTTGATCTGAAGTCTTCTGATTTCTTTTCACTACATCAATAGTTCAATGACCCGGTTCACTGCCCAGCTACTGAACCAGGTGAGTCCAAACTACACAGTTTAATTCACTGTGCAGACTGGACTCACCTGGCTGGGCAGAACAAATACAGGACATAGAGATGACTTGTTGACTCCAGATTCTCCATCTCCGCTGTCAATACATGGTCATCAGACAGACTGCGAGCTTTTTTTAAATGTGTACGCACACATATGCATGTTCAACAGACATGATGTGGTACTCTCTTCGCAGCTTTGGCCCTCAAGATTAGGGGAATCATTTTTGACAGATTTCTCCAAATTTTGTACCTCAGCTGAATCTCAGCCAAACCCACAACCCATTAAATTTTGTTATGCTGCTATAGGCTTAGACTGCTGGAGGACATAGGGACCCCTTTTTCATCATATCTCTATTCTCCCACTCTGCAGAATCTGTTAGTTCAATCTCTAACGTTCTGCTCTCTCTGCTTTTTCTCATAGTAGCTTCATCTGGTCTGTTCCTGTTTGGCTGTGACTCCATCCTGGAGAGAAATATCAGCTGTGCTGCTGCCATCAACACCTTTGTAAACAAAAGCGGAGCTGTGGCTCGCGGACACTGCAGGCGGGGGGGGGGGGGGGGGGGGGGGGGGGGGGGGGGGGGATGGGGGCACCGCCCAATCTCAGACACTCTAGGGGAGGAAACAAACACAGGTAAGTGACCACGATAAACTGATATATGATTATCTGGGTTGGTCACTTACCTGGTTTAACAGTCCAGACCACGAGTGTCCCCAGTGCTGCAGTCCCAGCGATCATGCTGGAAGCTGATCCTGGTCAGGGATCCAGAACAGACAGGAACAGAGACAGGTGGCAGGATCCAGACTTCCAGGCATCCACAGGCTTCCAGGAGGGTTCAAAATCAGACTGGGACCAGAAGCATGTCCAGGTGGTCACGCACAGGAGCAGACAGGATCAGGTGCAGACAGGCAGGCACAGTGGAAGAGGGTAGCCGAGACAGGACGTAGGAACCGGAACTTGAAGCAGACTTTAAACTGGTCTCCACCCTGGAGCCAGGCTTACTGAGATAAAAACTGAACCTCCCCTTATAATGAGCCAAAAACCCAGAGGACTCCGCAGGGAAGGAACAGTGGACGATCAGGAGACGAGACAAACACTAAAACCCTCTTTCCACTGGCAGCTAAGATCCGGGACATGAACCAAATAAAAACTGAACAGAAAGACTGACAGAAAGACAAGTAATGATCTGGAACTGAATGCTCAGGCTGAACTGAATATAAACCAGAGGAAACAGGTGAGGGGAATAAATTATAATTGAGGCAGGGAAGGAAGAGGGCAGGTGAGAGGAATTACTAATTAGGGGAGAGCAAACAGGCCAGATCATGACAGTTGGAGCTTGGCCTGTTTTCCAGTGTAGTCCTGTTTCTCTGACTGTGACTAACTGGATGTGCTCTCTTCATCCTCTGACATGGGAGCTGGCTCGGAGCTCGTCTGCCTGGCTGTGTGTTTCCTGTTTCCGCCTGTGGAGCTGGTTGACAGTTGCCTTTTGTATCTATGCTTCTTTTTCTATGTCTGCTTCTGTCTCCTTGAACCCCAGTCGGCCTCAGCAGATGGCCGCTCACACTGAGCCTGGTTCTGCTGGAGGTTTCTTCCTGTTCAAAGGGAGTTTTTCCTCTCCACTGTCGCTACAAGCATGCTTAGTGTGAGGGATTGCTGAAGAGTCAATGAGTCGATGCAATCAGCTGGTTTTCCTTAGATAGAAAACTTTGAATCAATCTGACTGGATGATCTGGTTGAATTGTGTCTCTAAAGCACCTTGAGATGACACGTGTTGTGAATAGGCACTATAGAAATAAACTGAATTGAATAGATGACATTAAAAAAATCAAGTTTATAATGTCTGACAGGAAAAGAGGGAGAGAGAAATGCACCGACTAGTCATTTCAAAAATCACAATGTTGTTTTTGCTTCATGTCTCTTAAAATTACCAGATTTGAATAATGAAAATAAAAACATTCCCAGGGGGAGCATACTGCCGAACCAGCCCATAAGTTCGGTCTCGTGGCCTCAGCATGTTTAGGGACCGGCTTTAACTCATAATGAGAGAAGATAATAGCAGCTTACGCACACTCTAAACTCTAAATTAAAAAAATTGTCTTTTACTGTCTGCATTCCAACATGAAGCTGTGGCTGGTTGCCCTTAAAATGTATCCGTCTCTTTATATATATTATATATTTTTAGCCATTGTCTGCTTGAATTTCCACCCCTGAATGGAGCAACTTTGTATTTTAGCACATATATTAACTGAAACGCAGTAATGACCTGAAATAGCCATCGTAAATGGGAGGAAGGCTGAAAAACGTCTAATAGAAAACTTCCCCAGGGTTTTACAGACAATGGTAGTTACTGTCACTCAAATTCAATCAGCTGCATTCGATTAAAGAGATTAAGAACTACAGTTTTAATTAGGGCATTTCAAATGAAAATATATGGCTGGAATTATAATAGCCTTTGCTTAATAGATGGAGGAGTGTGGAGAAAGAGGATATAATGAGAAGTGAAACACTGAGAACAAGGTCATATTCCTGATAAAACTTCATGGTTCATTAAAAGTTTTTTTTTTCTTTTTGTTCTTTTGTCCATTTCATTGTTTCATTGTTCATTCAGTTTATCTCTATAGCTTCAATTCACATCATGTCATCTCAGATCACTTTATAGATCAGATCATCCAGTCAGACTGATTCAAAGGAAAACCATCTGATTGCATCGACTCATTGACTCTTCAGCAATCCCTCACACTAAGCATGCTTGTAGCGACAGTGGAGAGGAAAAACTCCCTTTGAACAGGAAGAAACCTCCAGCAGAACCAGGCTCAGTGTGAGCGGCCATCTGCCCACACTGGCATCAGTGTAGAGCATGATGAAGGTAATTTCAAAACCCTTCATATATTGTCCATTTCAGGGCTAAAAACTCAAATTTTCCTGAAAGCATGTTGTAGTTCTTTTCAGGTGGCGGTGGCATCCCGAAAACCTATTTCAGCTTCCCTTCATTGGCTTTCTGTTAAATTCATAATAGAAGTTAAAATCCTCCTTAAGACATGTAAATCCCTAAATAAAAACTAAAGTAATCAGGCTCCTTTTCTGTGGAACCGACTACCAATCTTAGTCCCTGAGGTAGACACCCTGTCTACTTTAAGGCTCAGACTTAGATTGGCTCAGGTCATTTTGGGCTATATTTAGTTACCCTGCTATAGGCTTAGGCTGCCGGATGACATAGGGACCACTTTTCATCCTTCTGCTACTTTGTATGATGTGCCCCCCCCCAGGAATTTGGTGCTGTTGGCCACCTCTAGAGCTGAGCTGATTTTTATCTTTTCTTCAGTCAGTCTTCATCTATACTGTCCTGTCCGCCATGTTTATTTCTGTTCTCATTGTCTTCCCTCTGGGTTCCTATTATGTGTATATACACCGCCCAAAAAAATTAAAGGAACACTTTTAAAACACATCGGATCTCAATGGGGGAAAAAAATCCTGCTGTTTATTTATCCTGATATGGACTGGGTGATGTGTTAGGAACAAAAGGATGCCACATGATTTGATGGAAATTATCATTATTAACCTATAGAGGGCAGAATTCAAAGACACCCCAAAAATGACAGCGAAAAACGATGCGTAGGCTAGTCCATTTTGCTCAAATTTGCTAGCAGCAACTCAAAATGGTATTCAGTAATTTGTATGCCCCCCACGTGTGTATGCATGCCTGACAACGTCGGGGCACGCTCCTAATGAGACGACGGATGGCGTCCTGGGGTATCTCCTCCCAGATCTGGACCAGAGCATCACTGAGTTCCTGGACAGTCTGAGGTGCAACCTGGCGGCGTGGGATGGATGGAAACATAATGTCCCAGAGGTGTTCTATTGGATTTAGGTCAGGCGAGCGTGGGGGAGGGGGGGGGGGGGGGGGGCAATCAATGGTATCAATTCCTTCATCCTCCAGGAACTGCCTGCATACTCTCTCCACATGAGGCCGGGCATTGTCGTTCACCAGGAGGAACCCAGGACCCATTGCACCAGCAGAGGGTCTGACAATGGGTGCAAGGATTTCATCCCGATCCCTAATGGCAGTCAGGGTGGTGTTGTCTAGCCTGTATAGGTCTGTGCGTCCCTCCTTGGATATGCCTCCCCAGACCATCACTGACCCACCACCAAACCAGTCATGCTGAGCAATGTTACAGGCATCTGGGAAAAGCACAGGGCGCCAGTGGCCGACTTACCAATTCCGGTATTCTGTGGCAAATGCCGATCGAGCTCCACGGTGCCGGGCAGTGAGCACAGGGCCCACTACAGGACGTGGGGCCCTCAGGCTACCCTCGTGGAGTCTGTTTCTGATTGTTTGGTCAGAGACATTCACACCAGTGACCTGCTGGAGGTCATTTTGTAGGGCTCTGGCAGTGCTCCTCCTGCTCCTCCTTGAACAAAGGAGCAGATAGCGGTCCTGCTGATGGGTTGTAGACCTTCTACGGCCCTGTCCAGCTGCCTGTCTCCTGGAATCTCCTCCATGCTTCTGGCAAGGGCACGTATTGATGCGCCATCTTGGAGGAGTTGGACTGCCTGTGCAACCTCTGTAGGGTCCAGGTAGCGCCTCATGCTAACAGTAGTGACAGTGACCCTAGCCAAATGCTAAACTGGTGAAAAAGAGTCAGAAAAGATGAGGAGGGGAAAAATATCAGTGGCCTCCACCTGTAAAACCATTCCTGTTATGATGGTCGTCTCATTGTTGCCCCTCTAGTTCACCTGTTATTAATTTCATTAACACCAAAGCAGCTAAAACCTGACCAAATCAATATCCCACAAGTTTAATTAACTTCATGCGATACTCTGATTACAAAGTATTCCTTAAATTTTTTGAGTAGTGCATTTGTATGTATAGTTTTTTTTTCCAAATTATCAGATTCCTATTTGTAACTAAGAGGAAAAGCAAAATATGAACTTGATGCCGCCTGTTTTATGTTATTTTGCTAGTGTAGAACCCGAGCTCTATTGTAAATCTGTCAGATTTAAAGGCTAATGCCGAGACACAGTATATAAATATACGGCATCATGCATGCACAATCTGGACCGTAGCATTAACAGACATGTACTTTTAATTGAGTCTTTTTGTAAAATCTTAAAATGATATGTAATATGTAATTACAAAAACAATGTAATTAATGCATGTATATTACATGTTAATAATCAATTAGGCACTTATGGCTCTTCTGTATTATTCTGCTCCATTAACACATTCATTTTATTGTGATTTATTTGTATAATATGTTATATTACATGATTTATAGACATCATTGACTTCATAATGACTCTGTAATGTGATGGGTTTATTTATGTATTCTACGTTAAAGTTAATCTACTGATGCTATGAAACAGCCAGTCTGTTTCAAAGTGATGAATTGATCTTTATTTTAAAGTCTTAAGTCCCTGAAAATTAGAACATCATCGTTGCTCGAAGCTGCAGCGCACCGATTGTTTACATTGAGACCGGTCTAACTAGGGAGTACCAATATGGCGGCCGGTGGCTTCATTTTAACCCTGTTCTACCAACGGGCAATCAGCAATCCAGGGAATAAACAGAGATCCAAGTGTCCAAACAGAGGCGATCAATCCGTGGATTCTGATTGGATGTTGGGCTGAACGTGGCTGCTCTGCAGAGAGGCACGTCGATCACCGCCAGTCGTCAAGGTGGAGGAAAGCAGGTAAGGAAGGCGGAAGTGACTGTTACAGGTAACTAGGAAGCCTGCTTCAGAGCAAACAGACTGATGTTTGCTAACAGCTGGACTTCAATCCTCTAAAGTCTGGATTCATCAGTGAGCTTCAGGATTCACCGGGTCATTTTCAAACAGACGATTTAGGACTAAGACGTTTTATTTTGAAAGGTCAAACCGGAACCTGACAGGCTGCGTTTCCGGACTGATAGGTAGCAGCGGCGGAGGAGCGCAACCTGCTGACAGTAGGACGGAAACGGAGCGAACCGATCCGCTGCTGGACGCTCAGGTGAGAACAGACCGACTCCGGAACCACAGCCGCCATTTTCCTCCACAGAAGCTTCTGTAGCTCAGGTTCTAGACGCGTTCCGAACCCAAACCCGCCTCACATTCACATACAGACTTTAGTTACGTAGACGAGATAGATTGGACGCTGGCCGACGTGCATAGAGGGCGGCCATCTTGGATCAGACCAGAGTTCAGACAGCTGCTGTCAGAATGAACCTTAGATCTCATTTTAATCAAAGGAAAGAGTCAGAGATAATATTACAACAATCTCCTTCATGTCACAACACCTTAATAGAACAAATCTAATTTTTAAAATGACCTTTAAATTAGATTACACCGATTTTTTTCAGATTAAAAACTAATTAAACTGGAATCAAACTGGATGAGATATATGCAAAGTTCTATATTTTGCAATTAAATATTAATATGATAAACACAAAGCTTTATATTAATATATTATAAGATTCAATTTACAAATATTATATATTATTATGGCATATTATTATTATTCATTATTTTATAGGATTGATAATGAGTATTATGATCTATAGAGGAACAATGTTAATGTGATTTACAAAAGAGAGTAAAGTTATTATTTTTTTAATGATTTCTATGTAAATTTCTATTTATTTCTTGTCAAATCGTAGTGAATGGTAAAGTTATGTTGTGTCTTAATAAACGCTTTTTTCCTTATAAACATGTCTAAACTTCTTCCAAAACTATTTTTTAAACACTTTTTTTCTAATTATTTATGCATGTGTAATGCTGCGTTCACACCGGGGGCAGCTGGCGCGACAGAAGCAGCGAGTTTACATGCAAAGTCAATGGTTGACGCGCGTCAAGGCGCAGCAATATGGCAAGCCAAGAAGGTTATGGCAAGCCAAGAAGTATGGCAAGCCAAGAAGGTCATATTTCGCATTGAATTCTCGCGTTAAGATTGAAGTTAACCCGCAAAAAACGCGCGTTCCCCCGAGATTACGCCGCTTTTTACGCCGTCTTTTACCAACAAGCGCCGCCTTTTACGCGCGTCATGATAGTACCGCAAGACGCGCGTTAAATACGCGCGTTGTGTCGGTCAGAACGCGCGTTAAATACGCGCGTTGTGTCGGTCAGAACGCGCGTTAAATACGCGCGTTGTGTCGGTCACAACGCGCGTATTTAACGCGCGTTTTCCTAATATGATAATGATGTCCTTCCTTCTTTTCCCACAGCCAATGCATTTGAACTGGTTGCATCCAATGGCTGATCAAGGCAGCCAGACCAAGAAAGTTCAGCATAGATCTGCTTTGTGGAAAACTGCACAGAGCTCAAAGTTGCAGCATTGCCAAAATTCACTGCATTGCCGTTTCACAAAGACTTAATGTGAGGAATATATCCACTACATACACTTTGCTGTTATTTTGAATCCATTCCATGCCTATTTTCATGTAAAAACGTTTTGCATCGCCAACTGATGTTTTGTATTTACCGGGATTACTAGGAATGTTTCACCACTTATCATCACCGAGAGGCGGCGTGGTGGGTTAAGTAACCGCCTTCAATGCGATATTTTTGCTTCGTGGCAGGTTCGAATCCGGCAGAGGCAGTCCGACTTTTCCCTTTATGTTCTTTCTTGTCTCCAACCAAGCCCATTTATTTATTTATTTATTTTTTTTCTGAGAATATAATCATAAATGTAGCCTACTTCACTGTTTTTGATCCATCGCCATGCATTCTGTCATGTAAAAACATTTTATATTGTACTAATAAAAAGACAATAAAGGGGACACTTGTCTTCCAGAAAATTTGCCGGTCTGACTTGTTTTCTGTATATTTTCCTGCATATCACCAACCTTTTCCCATAATGCTTTCTACAGCCATGGAGCAACTGCTGTTAAAATTAAATTAACAGGAACATTTCTTATTAAAAGTGTTATTAGTGCAATGAGAAAAAACTTGCTTAGTTGAGCCAGTGGAGGTTTGATAATCCCCATAGCTCATGTTCTCTGTCTCCTACATATACACACACATATATATATATATATATATATATATATATATATATATATATATATATATATATATATATATATATATATATATATATATATAAACCACGTCACATAAATGTTCTTTCAGTCTACAATACTTTCAGTCTGCAGATGGCGCCATATAACGGGTAGGCTACTGGCAGAGCAGCAAACAGGTGTTTGCACCAAAGCTGGGGAACAATATAGGCAAGGTGTGTCTCTTTTTCAAGAGAGAACTGGATACTGGATTCTTTCATCTTTTTTATTTATTATGAACTATTATTTATCTATTTCCCACTACCTTTGACCACTAGTCAATACCTTTACTTATGTGTATTGGAACAAGATCCAAATGTGCAAGAGTCTAATTACATTTTCATTGTGGAGTAGGAGACAAGGTATGGGTGCAGCACCTTCCATTGGGGGTGTATCCAGAAAACAGGTACTACGTTATTTAGATGTTACATTTAATTTTAACAGCAGTTGTTCCGTGGCTGCAGAAAGCATTATGAGCTTGGGAAAAGGTTAGCGATATGCAGGAAACATACAGAAAACAAGTCAGACAGACACATTTTCTGGAGGATAAGTGGCCCCTTTATTGTCATTTTATTAGAACTATGTAAAAAGTTGTTACATGACAGAATGAATGGCGATGGATCAAAAACAACAGAGAAGTGGGCTACATTTATGGATTATATTCTTAATTAGAGGCAAGAGAGAATATCAAAGGCATAGGTTTGATTTCAGCTTTGGCAGGGACACTATTGGTCTTCAGTTTCATTGGTCTAATGTCATTGGTCCTTTGCAAAAAGATGCATACTCTTTTTTTATGCTTAATGTGAGCATCAGGCTTTGATGTGTTTAAAGAGAACAGCATAATTTCTTCCTAGATTAATACAAATCTTATAAGCACTACACTCACTAGATGCTATTTAGCAATGTTTGAAGCATCACTGGCTCTGATCAATGTGCAATTAGGACTTTTTTCCACTTTGAAAATGTTTGCATTTAAACTTACCAGCCACTAAGACAGAAGGTAAATACATTCCTATTTAACCAAATATAATCTAAATATGCCTGTTATATGTTGACGTATCATGGGTTTTCTTTTGAAGATATATAATTGTGCAGAGGTAAACAGGTGAAACCCACTCTTATTTTTTTATGTAATATGCTCTCTCTGTGTCATGCAAAATAATACATTCAACGGACGGCAAATAAATTTATTGTATTTACATGTGCACTGGAACTATAAGAGGAACTGACACTGAGGATTTTGAAATATTAACTTCACTATACAAGTTGTACATCTGGGCTGTAGTTACTCTATGTAGCCCATTTCATAATTTTTTTTCTATGGCTAAAACAATTAATCATATCTATCAATAATTTAAATAATTGTCAACTGATTTAGTAATTGATTAATAATTAACTGGAGTATAGAGCCACTAAAATGTGCCTTTAGCCAATAGAGCGACCCACTTAGAGCAGGAATTATACCAAGATTATGAAAAAATATGTAAACATTTTGCATTTAAGACAAAAAAAACTTTTAGTCTGTCAATATTCTCCATCCAGAACTCCTCAAGAGGAAACGTTTCTGTTTCACCTGGGGTCATTTCGTAAAAAAATCTACTTTTAGGAACCTTTGGGTGATCTGAATATTAATCAATTCATCAAAAACATAATCAACAGATTAATCAATTTGCAGAATAATCATTAGTTGCAGCCCTAATTTTATGATAGCATTCCAAACACATTTCTTCCATCATGCAGCAGTGAAGGGCAGCTGCTTCACCCTGAGGCTGCCCTGCATCATTATATCTGTTTCCTACAATCATATAATGTTTCTATTATACAAGTGCGTCTATAATAGTAAAGGATTAAATGTAACAACCTTTTATCATCATCCTATATTGCTTGCTGTTTAAAAGCTCCTTATGTCTATTTTCTTTTTTAGTGGCATCATCTACAAACACAACACTAAGAATCAGCCAAAGTTTATTAAAATATAAAATCACTTTAAACAATTATTATCTGTAATGTAATAGTATCCAAAATAAACAGCCAGATTCAAGCATTATTTACCAGAGATTAATGTACTAATTTACTTATGGACCATGTGGAAATCTAGAAAAATAGAATCAGTGTAAATAGAGTTCCTCTGTGTGTCTTTATCCTATTTCTAGAAGTAGAATCAATTGAATAGAACTATTTTTATGTGGAAAACAAAAAAATAGAAGAACGTCATCATCCTTCTCGTGTTGTTATGTTCTACAAAATAAATTAACAGCTTTTATATACACCTGAACTGCCGTCAAAAAACAGAAAACAGTAATACAAAAGAAATACTGGTGAAAGGGAATCAGAAATGTTGATAGATTACAGACTGCTCATTTTGACAGCAGTTTTCAGAACTCCTGTCTGACTCAGAATATTTTGTTTTATAAAAGAAATCCTAACTTTGGTTACTTTCATTTCTCAAGTTCCAAAAATCCAAACTATCTCCTGCTTCTTCATAGAACTGCAGTCAGAAGTTTCGCCTGTTTTAGCCTAGAGTGTCCCTACCAAAGCTGAAATCAAACCTATGCCTTTGATATTCTCTCTTGCCTCTAACCAAGAATATAATCCATAAATGTAGCCCACTTCTCTGTTGTTTTTGATCCATCGCCATTCATTCTGTCATGTAACAACTTTTTACATAGTGCTAATAAAATGACAATAAAGGGGCCACTTGTCCTCCAGAAAATGTGTCTGTCTGACTTGTTTTCTGTATGTTTCCTGCATATCGCTAACCTTTTCCCAAGCTCATAATGCTTTCTGCAGCCACGGAACAACTGCTGTTAAAATTAAATGTAACATCTAAATAACGTAGTACCTGTTTTCTGGATACACCCCCAATGGAAGGTGCTGCACCCATACCTTGTCTCCTACTCCACAATGAAAATGTAATTAGACTCTTGCACATTTGGATCTTGTTCCAATACACATAAGTAAAGGTATTGACTAGTGGTAAAAGGTAGTGGGAAATAGATAAATAATAGTTCATAATAAATAAAAAAGATGAAAGAATCCAGTATCCAGTTCTCTCTTGAAAAAGAGACACACCTTGCCTATATTGTTCCCCAGCTTTGGTGCAAACACCTGTTTGCTGCTCTGCCAGTAGCCTACCCGTTATATGGCGCCATCTGCAGACTGAAAGTATTGTAGACTGAAAGAACATTTATGTATATATATATATATATATATATATATATATATATATATATATATATATATATATATATATATATATATATATATATATATATATATATATATGTGTGTGTGTATATGTAGGAGGCAGAGAACATGAGCTATGGGGATCATCAAACCTCCACTGGCTCAACTAAGCAAGTTTTTTCTCATTGCACTAATAACACTTTTAATAAGAAATGTTCCTGTTAATTTAATTTTAACAGCAGTTGCTCCATGGCTGTAGAAAGCATTATGGGAAAAGGTTGGTGATATGCAGGAAAATATACAGAAAACAAGTCAGACCGACAAATTTTCTGGAAGACAAGTGTCCCCTTTATTGTCATTTTATTAGTACAATATAAAAAGTTTTTACATGACAGAATGCATGGCGATGGATCAAAAACAGTGAAGTAGGCTACATTTATGATTATATTCTCAGAAAAAAATAAATAAATAAATGGGCTTGGTTGGAGACAAGACAGAATATAAAGGGAAAAGTCGGACGGCCTCTGCCGGATTCGAACCCGCCACGAAGCAAAAGAATCGCATTGAAGGCGGTCACTTAAGCCACCACGCCGCCTCTCGGTAGTATTAAGTGGTGAGACATTCCTACTGATACCTGTGAATACAAAACATTTGTTGGCGATGCATGTTGATGCAAAACATTTTTACGTGAAAATAGGCATGGAATGGATTCAAAATAACAGCAAAGTGTATGTAGTGGATATATTCCTCACATTAAGGCTTTGTGAAACGGCAATGCAGTGAATTCTGGCAATGCTGCAACATTGAGCTCTGTGCAGTTTTCCACAAAGCAGATCTATGCTGAACTTTCTTGGTCTGGCTGCCTTGATCAGCCATTGGATGCAACCAGTTCAAATGCATTGGCTGTGGGAAAAGAAGGAAGGACATCATTATCATATTAGGAAAACGCGCGTTAAATACGCGCGTTCTGACCGACACAACGCGCGTATTTAACGCGCGTTCTGACCGACACAACGCGCGTATTTAACGCGCGTCTTGCGGTACTATCATGACGCGCGTAAAAGGCGGCGCTTGTTGGTAAAAGACGGCGTAAAAAGCGGCGTAATCTCGGGAGAACGCGCGTTTTTTGCGGGTTAACTTCAATCTTAACGCGACAATTCAATGCGAAATATGACCTTCTTGGCTTGCCATACTTTTGGACCGCGCAGGCAGAGCAGCAAAGCTGCTTCAGCCGCGCGTCAGAACTAACTGGTACAAGCAGCAAAAATGAAGCAGCAGACGCGATTTTGCTGCTTTTGCAGCGTCCGGTCTGAACGTAGCATAACATTTGTTCTTTAATCAGTTAATGTGTGTCATAACTTAACACACGTGGAATTATATAGTAAAAGAAAACAACTGAAAATATGTGTTATATTCTAGGTTCACCTTTTGCTTTGATTACTGCTTGTCACGCTCCAGGCGTCGTCTTTGGTTGAGAATGGCTCCGTTTCTCTGTTGTTCATTCTTGTCTGAACTGTTAGAGGAGCGCTTCTAATATTCACTTAGTTATAAATTAGTATATAGTGATTATAAAGGCAGTCATTCATAAAACCAGAATAAATCTGAATTTTAAAGACTTAACATTTTGCCTGTAAACTTCTGTTCAATTCAGATGTATTCATATTTTATGGTTAATATTTTCTTCAACCGTTTTGCTGCTGTTAGGGTTTCATCATGGCTTCATGGATGTTAGAGATGATGGTCATGGTGCTGTCTACGTTCATCAGCATCAGCCATGGCAAGAGAGACAAAGTGCTCTACTGCTCCGGTAAGGCCCAATTACCCCCCCCCCCCCCACACACACACACTCACACACACACACACAATCACTTCTTCATATCCTTATGGGCCTTTCCATTGACTTCCATTCATTCTAACTGCTGTCTATAGCCTAACCCTGAGACCCTAATCCTCTCTAGAGGAGAGCGTTAGCGCTGCAGCTACCAGATCTGCTCAGGTCCTGCTTCCTGCCAGTGACGTTACGCCACATGATTGGCTGAATGTTGCCACAGGATGTAAACATTGTGGTTGCCAAGACAACGATAACATCAGGCAGCGTCAGTGTGCCGAGTCGGGAGCATCTGTAGCGTTAGTGTGTCAAATGCCCGATTTATACCTCTGCAACCGTCAAATCTGTCTCTGTGTGTGACCACGCCCCCCTGCATGCAGGTGTGGAAGCAGACTTCTAGAAGCTATTCAGCTTATTTCTATAGCTCCAATTCCCATCATGTCATCTCAGGTCACTTTCCAGTTCAACCAGATCATCCAGTCAGATTGATTCAAAGTTTTCTATCTAAGGAAAACCAGCTGATTGCATCGACTCATTGACTCTTCAGCAATCCCTCACACTAAGCATGCTTGTAGCGACAGTGGAGAGGAAAAACTCCCTTTGAACAGGAAGAAACCTCCAGCAGAACCAGGCTCAGTGTGAGCGGCCATCTGCTGAGGCCCACTGGGGTTCAAGGAGACAGAAGCAGACATAGAAAAAGAAGCATAGATACAAAAGGCAACTGTCAACCAGCTCCACAGGCGACCCCGTCCAGGAAACACACAGCCAGGCAGACGAGCTCCGAGCCAGCTCCCATGTCAGAGGATGAAGAGAGCACATCCAGTTAGTCACAGTCAGAGAAACAGGACTACACTGGAAAACAGGCCAAGCTCCAACATCTAGAAACAAAGGTGTTGATGGCAGCAGCACAGCTGATATTTCTCTCCAGGATGGAGTCACAGCCAAACAGGAACAGACCAGATGAAGCTACTAAAGTAGTAGCCATTCAAAATGTCGCCACTATCTTAAAGAGAAGAGCCATCTCCTGGTCAGACCCTGTAATTCAGTGAAAGGGTGCAGTCAGAGTAAAAAAATGTGCACGCCCATGAGAAGGCCAGTGGCTGGAAGTTGGAGGGGTTTTTGCAGAGAGAGCAGAACGTTAGAGATTGAACTAACAGATTCTGCAGAGTGGGAGAATAGAGATTTTTTTGCAAAAATACAAATTAATAAAAAAAATGAATAAATTGATTTAACATAGAAAACAGCAAAGCTACTCTGAGAAAAAGCAGAGAGAGCAGAACGTTAGAGATTGAACTAACAGATTCTGCAGAGTGGGAGAATAGAGATAGAATGAAGCAGAATGATGAAAAAGGGGTCCCTATGTCCTCCAGCAGTCTAAGCCTATAGCAGCAGAACTATAGAGATAGCTCAGGATAACCTGAGCCACTCTAACTAGAAGCTTTATTAAAAAGGAAAGTTTTAAGCCTAGCCTTAAAAGTAGACAGGAGAGGAGCCTGAGAACTAAAAGATCTGCCTCCCATTCTACTTTTAGAAATTCTAGGATCAAATACCAACAAGAATAATATTTTTTTTTTCATTGGCTAAACTTTAACTTTGTGTTTTATGTTTTGTTGTTTTTTCCCAGCATGCAAGGCGATTGTGGATGAGCTGAACTACTCCATTAGTCAGGTGGACCCAAAGATGACCATAAATATAGGGAGCTTTAGGCTCAACCCTGATGGGACCATGACAGATAAAAAGGTAGAATCCAGCTGCTGTGAGTTTTCCTCCTCTTTTCTCTGAAATGAACAATGTGCTGAGACGATGTTTAATCCTGTAGATTATGTTGATCTAATTAATGTGTCATGTTAATGACCCTGAAGTGTAAACACCAATACGCTGCCTGTTTGGAGCTCTGTGCAGAAGATCAGAGTCTTATTTAGCTGCTGGGGAACATTTGAAAATGATCCAGTTTATGTCTTATATTTTATCTTCAAAAACTCTTTACATTGATGTTCTTTCAGTCCTTTTTTTTTCTAAGTGGAACCTTTTATTGAAAACAACCAATCCTGAAATCACTGTGACACCAGCTGTGAGATGCCTTTGGTCTGCTTCAATCATCACCGCCTTCCCCCCAGACTCTGCTCCTCTGTCGCTCCATCCAGTCTTAAAGTTGTAGGGAAATCATATTTAAATGTCATTCTGGCTTAAACATGTAGATAAATTTACTCTTTATCAGACCATATTGTCCCAAAAGTTAGAAAATTTCTATTTAAAAAAAAATCCTGTCTTAAAATCTGTTTTTTTCCGTTATCTTCTGCAGGCCAGTTAGTTCTACGTCAGCCTGAACACCTAAATTCAGCCAATCATATATCAACCATCATCTGTCAATCAAATGTTTCCGGTCATAGCATCTTGATTCATGTGTCGCAGCTAATATACGCAACTGTTAAAACCAGAATCCTTTCCCATTGAGTTGCGTCCCAGTGTTCACGGGGATGGACGTCTGTGTCTTCGGCAGGCGTAGAGCTAACAGAACTGGCAGCGTTGCGAGGCAAGGGCTCAAACATGTACGGCTGGAAGCCTTCTACACCAAACCAGGCTTCTGCCGCCCTGGCGTCCTCTTCCACAACATCTTCGTCCCCGCTTTCCTCCACTAAATAAAAAATGGATGACGGAGGAGACTCATCCACGACCTCCGACACTAAACTCTCCTCCTCTTGCATGTTTCCGCTGTCCATAGCGTTCCTTGACAGCGTCGTTTCTAAGTCACCAATTTAGTGCTACTTGGTCCCAATGGAATTTCCCATTGGGAACCTGCTAGCACTAAGATGCTAACTGGTTAGCAAGATGCTTCCCACAAACCGGCCACAACCAAACTTGCTTTTGAACCTTCCACCACAACAATCCCGCCCCCTTGATAATCGACCAATCACATTATTCACTGGTGTAAAGTCGGGCACCAATCGGGAGAATTCAGAAATGCAACGGTTGGAACGGCCGCTTCCATACGACTTAAATGTATTTAGTGTTAATCGGTGAAATAAAAACAATAATTTTCATTGTAATTTCTGAGTCTGGGAGCGGCCATTTTTGCCCAAATATAGTAGCCCCTCCCTCCTGCCATCTTCCAGCAGTGACGTCACGGTGCGGTAAGCCTAGCGCCATTCTCCCCGCTTTCCAAGCTAAATCAATGGGAACTACTAGACACATCTGCAAACAACAACAATTATTGAAGATTTCCAGAGGACTTCACCATTGAAATTCACCAGAGCTATAGTGAAACTGACAATGCCCACGTGCATGGCAGCTGGATGCTGGAATACATCGGGTAAAAGTGAAAAACAAAGAGTTATTCCACCTTTCTGATTCCTGATCCTCCACGGACGGGTTGGTCGTTGGATCGCCAACTTGAAGAGGGAGGATTTGCCATCGAACTTCTGGCCAGAGAAAAAACCCGTAATATGTAGCCAACATTTGGAAGAAGAATGTTTTCAAGATGACTTGGATAATAGCGCGTTGTGACAAACACCAGATACAGCACTGGGACTTGATCAACAGCCGATACCGCAGCGTGACGTCACTAACCAGTAGGTGGCAGTAGTGTTCTTTGACAAACATGGATGCCTCCAGTAAAGCACATTCACATGAAAATTACTCTGAATTAAAAACACTGATCATTTATTGAACAGGATGTTCAATAAATGATCTATGAATTCTGAATATAACCCGACTTTTCCTTTAATTCAAGAAAATGTTTTTTATTAGTTATTGTTAAAGAATCATAAAGTAATAAAGCATTAACATTCCCCCAGATTGAAAATGTAAAAAATCAAAAGTTTAACTTTTTTCCCCAAATTCTCCTTTTTATAGATGAATTTAACTTGATGATGTAATGAAATGATCAACTGCTTAACTAAAGCTGGTCGTATGCTCTAACTACCACCACCTGCTGGACTGAAGGTGTACTGCAGTCTCTGTCAAGCTGACTCCTTTGGAGTTAAAAACTATTTAATTTCATTTTTTGTGAATTGAGAACGGCTTATTGTTTTTACTGATTAACGCTAAACACATTAAATCACCGCAAACGTATTATTTTCAGATATAAATGGATTATTCCTCGCTGACCAAACGTTTTCCTTTAAAGCTCACAGACGTGTCCAGGATCCGTTCCTCCTGGCAGAGCCCAGCTTTACAGTCAGCTGCTGCTTTTCACTGGTTGCCAGTTTTTAGTTGTTTCTAATGTTGGTCAGACTCTCTGCTGACTTGATTACGGCCTTGATAATATTTCCTGGTGAAAAGCCGTTGAAACGTTTCCGTTCTCAGGCCACGGCTCCTCCTGGGCCCTCTGCAGCCTCTAACCTCCACCTGTTGTTTTCTTTGCTCTTTCAAATATTCCTCAGCCACAGAAGCAAGCAAACCTTGATCCCTTGCCCTCCGGTCTCCATGCTTTTCAGCAGCTTTTGACCTAGAGTGAATCGGAGAGGATGGGGTGTCAGCGCGTTGATGCCATCAGTGTGAAGGATTTTCAGGTTTTAAGTTTGCTCTTTGGCCTCCTCACAGTAGGACTTCCTGGGGGCGCGGAGCCGCTCTGTGGCACAAAGGTTAAACCTGCCTGCTGTAACAATGGCACTTAAAGGCATCCAAAGACATTGAACTTAGATGCAGCAGGGAGGTGATCTCATGCAGGCCGGTGGGAAGTCATGCATTGAGAATGAGAGGATGCACAATGGCCGGCAGTGACATGTGATATCAAGGCCTAGAAATGGGCAGGAGGCAGAGATGGGATCTGACAGGCGCTGCAGGGTGATTACTTACCTTTTAGCGCAAGTTGATGTATCAAAAAATCAGGCCCTTGTCCTGCCAGGTTGTCCTTAAAGTCTACAAACATTTTAAATTAAGAACACCAAACTGTCCCTTTCCAAAAACTTCAGAAAATGGAAATCTAAATAGTAAATGTTTCTTAAGATAAGCGCATCTGTTTCTTGATATGAGGAGGTGAGACACTTTGCCAATGAAAGAAGACAATTCACATAAAAAATAAGATAAAACAGTTGCATTGTTTTATTTCAAGTGCATAATATCTAATTATCCTATTTACTCAAATTAAGGGTAAAAACACTTCATTTAAGAAATTCTAACTTATTTCTCGATCGTTTTTGCAGTGCAACCAGTCTTATGGGCGTTATCCAATGATTTGGCTGCTCGCCATCTGCTATCCTCCTCCTCCCTGTGGCTAGAAATCCTGCTGTTCTAGAAAACATCCAGGTCTCCGTGGAGCTGAGCAATTAATTGCATTTGCAATTTAGAAAAATAGAATTTTCAAATTGCAGAGGAGCTGCAAGAGCTTAAAGTATTTCTGATTCTGAGCTCACTTTTAGTCGCAATACATTTAATAGGAGTAAATTTCTCCCTCCAGCCCTTTAGGTGGCAGTAAAATGATTAAAGTGGGGATGCTGTCACACCGTAGAGAGCAGAGAGTTGCAGCTAGGACCTAGATCTATGCATTATAGTAGGAGTAAGAACATTTTCACACATGTTCCAGTAAAGTCCTGCAGCTCTGGATTCTGGAACTTTCAAGGTTATTAAAAAACTGAAACCTTGGAGTAAACCATTGACTTGCTTGTGTTTAGTCCAAATATTGGTTAAAAATATTTTGGCTAAATGTTTATCCCTGGTTATCAGAGAGTTTTGCCCTCCTGACAGATCTGACAAAGATACCGTTAGAGTTAATAATACCTTTGACCTGAAATCAGTAGCAGAAAAATAGCAGCTTTCCATCAGAATTTGCTCCAATATGTTTCTGCTCCTTTCCTCACAGCTTTCATTATCAATATTATTAATAAAGGAGTCCTGATCGACCCATAGGAGGAGAACAATGAGACTGAAAGGCTGCTGCCCAGTAATGGCTCCTTGTCCAATGGGAATTGAATGGAGGATGGCAGCCTATTCTCTGGCCGAACTGGTCCCACCCTGCCCCATTCTCCAAACCCCGCCGTGACTGACAGCTCCCATTCACGGCGCTCCGGCTGCCCAGGAAGCCTCCTAATTCCAATCCATTTTGTATCGTGGTTTGATAATGACTGAGACCTAAGCCCGCGGGTTGAGATGGACATACGTGCTCCTATTGTCCGGCAGAGGAAGGAGGTCCTTTTTTGTCTTGGTGTCATGTGGTTTGGAGAGGCTGGTGGAACTGTTTACATTTCAAACAAACGTCATGTCAGATGGCAAAGAGCAGCGCTGTTGAAAGGGAAGATAACTTCTATGTTTATCTGTTTTATTGGAGCCATCGTCCTGCTTTTATCCTCCGCTCAGGGTTTAGAAATGTCCCGACTAGGGATGCACGATATTGGGATTTTGGCCGATATCCGATATTTTAAAACTCATGTAGCCGATAACCGATATCGATACCGATGTTAAAGCTGGACAAAAATAAGTAGTCATTGAAAATAGCAGTTTTGTTATCCATTTCTGACACTTTGAAAAATAATAAACTCAAATATATTTTCATATGCTGATATCAAATAGATTTTTAAAAACGCGGTATTGATCTATTTTACTTTCAAAATCTCGTGAAATTTCATCGTTCTGTTACAAACTCTGGTGATATTTTGCAAATTCTTGTGAGATTTTGTCAGTAAAATAGATCGATACCGCGTCAATATATCAACATATAAAAATATGGCAACATTTGGTGAATTTTCGGGGGATTTCGTAGCATAATGATGACATATAGCAATATTTCATTAGTAAAAGAGATTGATATGGTGTTTTTAAATGGCAATATATCAGCATATGAAGATATTGGGATATTTTAATGGATCAATATTTTTTCCCTCGTCTTTAGAAGTTTTTAAGTCTGTAAAAAAGAAGTTTTTGAGGAAGAAGAAGAAGTAGTATTTTTTTATTTTTTTTTTTAGAAGCTGATCAAATATCGGGTTAAATATCGGTGGGGTGGCCGATGTCCGATATTCAGTTTTAAGGCCGATACCGATAGGGGGCCGATTATATCGTGCATCCCTAGTCCCGACCAGCAGGTGGAGGTGTGTTGCCCCAATCAGGCAGCGGCGCCCGTTAGGACTCATCAGCACACCTGGAACAGTCGGAGGCTTTAGTGAGTCACAGCAGGTGGCGACCTAAACCTAAACATAACCTTCAGCCGCTAAAATAGAAAATTCAGCAAAAGAAAGACAATAGTGATAAGTACCAAAAAATAAACATAAAAAAACCTTTAATTTAGCAGAACTGGACAAAAAAAAATATTAATTGAAGCAACAGAAGGATCTAAACCCATAACATACTAATGAGATTTAACCCTTTTTAAGGCAAGTTAGCGTTTTTGATGACTAGCGCCCCCCCCCCCCCCCCCCCCCCCTTACAAATCTAGCCCCCCCCCCCACCCGTCCCACAGTGAGATCTTGAAGCAGAAGATCTATATTCATCCATTCAGCATAGATCCTGCTGCATGGCTCTACATCTGATTTTGGCTTTTGACCAATTAGATGAAACTTGAATGATAGATTACCTACTGGAAATTAAGTAAAAAAAAAAAGTAAATGCTAATTGAAAAGTTAAAAATTCAAGAAAAAAAAAGGTAAAATGGTAATTGAAAAGTTAATAAGTCTAGATAACAACTATATTTAGGTTAACAAACTAAAAAATGTCAGTGCCAGTATCAGCATTAATGCCTCTAAAGTTATGTTAGACCAAATAAATGTGTTTTTCATGAATTTCTTATAGAAAAACTTTTATTTTTCTTTATATATTGGGGCAAGTTGGCGTTTCTGGTTATTATATTGACATTAATTTTAAGCATCAAAATATCCATATGTTTTAACGTTACAACGGTAATAAAGTCCAGTAACTATTGAAAATGTTGGTTTTCAGAGTATTTCCCTGAGCGTCCTCTAAAGGGTTAAACATCCACTGGAAAGCATCATTAAAAGTTCTTTGATGTGAGGAAAAAATCTGAACCAAAGAATTTTCAGGTATATTCTGGAATCTATGTCAGATAAAAGCATCAGACGCAACAAGGCGTGCGTCACCGCATCCTTTCCCTTCATGCATCCCAGTTTGCATGAAATGGACTAACCCTAAATGTGAGGAAATAGGTATAAATCCCCCGTAACCAAGGAAACCTAGATCTAGAAAATAGGAATGAAGCCAAACATGGAAGCTGATGACTGACGCTATAGAGAAAAGTCCGTGGCCTAGTCAAAGCCTAGAGCCGCAGGTGAATGATGTGGAGACGTTCAGCAGGAGAGGAGCGGTGGTTCAGGCAGCGCTCAGGTTACCTGCTGCTCGGAGCTGCTTCTGGTTTTATAGGTCTATAAATAGACCTATAAACTATCTATAAGTAGACAGAGCTGCATGTTGCAGTAAAAATTCAACCCAGAAACACCTGAAGGAGAAGAACTGGAGACTGGTTCCCTGCTCTGGTTTAGATGCAGAGAAGCAAAGGTTTCAGTCTCAGAAACACAAACTATGTCATATAGTTCTATTAAGAGCAGGTCCCCCCCCCGGGTTCTGCCCCCTCACCTCCTGGGTGTCACCCCGTCACCTCGGATACTTCCGGGGATGCTGGGAAAGGCAGCTCACCTACGCTGACCCGTCTAGACACCGCTGCCGGACCTTTTTGTTCCAGAAGGAGGAAGAGGACGGTGGGGAGGGGGGGTTATAAGTCACAGTGGTGGTGGGGGGGCGGGGGGGCATGCAGTTAAGGAAGCAGAGCGGAAGCTCGAGGTCACTCTGATCAAACCTTTCCCCTCCCTGCTCATTCTGGGTCAGGATGACCATCAGGACCCCCCCCCCCGTCCAGCACCTCACGGTGTGCCCCCCCCCCCCTGCCCATTCACAGCTGCTGATTTTCTCCCGGTTCTGTTTCCAGGTCCCACTAGCTCGCTCTGAGACCCACCTCAGCGAGCTGCTGGACCAGGTGTGTGAGAGCATGAGCGACTACGCCCTGCATGTGGACCCCGACACGCAGCTCCGGCAGTACAGGCGGTTCGCTCCCAGAAGCTCCGGGTCCAACCAAGACTTCCCAGACTTCAAGAACTTCCAGTTCGATGGACCAGAGGCCTCCAGTAACCTGAAGTTTGCAGTGAGTAGATCCCAGTTCTGGTCCGGGTTCTTGGGAACCGGAAGCTGTGGGTGATTCTGAGGTGTGGTGGTTCTGATCCAGGTGTCGATGGTTCTGATCCAGGTGTCGATGGTTCTGATCCAGGTGTCGATGGTTCTGATCCAGGTCAGGTGGTTCTGATCCAGTTGTCGATGGTTCTGATCCAGGTGTCGATGGTTCTGATCCAGGTCTTAATGGTTCTGATCCAGGTGTCGATGGTTCTGATCCAGGTGTCGATGGTTCTGATCCAGGTGTCGATGGTTCTGATCCAGGTCTTAATGGTTCTGATCCAGGTGTCGATGGTTCTGATCCAGGTGTCGATGGTTCTGATCCAGGTCAGATGGTTCTGATCCAGGTGTCGATGGTTCTGATCCAGGTGTCGATGGTTCTGATCCAGGTCAGATGGTTCTGATCCAGGTGTCGATGGTTCTGATCCAGGTGTCGATGGTTCTGATCCAGGTCAGATGGTTCTGATCCAGGTGTCGATGGTTCGGATCCAGGTGTCGATGGTTCGGATCCAGGTGTCGATGGTTCGGATCCAGGTGTTGATGGTTCTGATCCAGGTCTTAATGGTTCTGATCCAGGTGTTGATGGTTCTGATCCAGGTGTCGATGGTTCTGATCCAGGTGTCGATGGTTCTGATCCGGTGTCGATGGTTCTGATCCAGGTCAGATGGTTCTGATCCAGGTGTCGATGGTTCTGATCCAGGTGTTGATGGTTCTGATCCAGGTCTTAATGGTTCTGATCCAGGTGTCGATGGTTCTGATCCAGGTGTCGATGGTTCTGATCCAGGTGTCGATGGTTCTGATCCAGGTCAGATGGTTCTGATCCAGGTCAGATGGTTCTGATCCAGGTGTCGATGGTTCTGATCCAGGTGTCGATGGTTCTGATCCAGGTGTCGATGGTTCTGATCCAGGTCAGATGGTTCTGATCCAGGTGTCGATGGTTCTGATCCAGTTGTCGATGGTTCTGATCCAGGTGTCGATGGTTCTGATCCAGGTCAGATGGTTCTGATCCAGGTGTCGATGGTTCTGATCCAGGTGTCGATGGTTCTGATCCAGGTCAGATGGTTCTGATCCAGGTCAGATGGTTCTGATCCAGGTGTTAATGGTTCTGATCCAGATGTTGATGGTTCTGATCCAGGTGTTAATGGTTCTGATCCAGGTGTTAATGGTTCTGATCCAGATGTTGATGGTTCTGATCCAGATGTTGATGGTTCTGATCTGATGTTGATGGTTCTGATCCAGGTGTTAATGGTTCTGATCCAGATGTTGATGGTTCTGATCTGATGTTGATGGTTCTGATCCAGATGTTAATGTTTCTGATCAGATGTTGATGGTTCTGATCCAGATGTTGATGGTTCTGATCCAGGTGTTAATGGTTCTGATCCAGATGTTGATGGTTCTGATCCAGGTGTTAATGGTTCTGATCCAGATGTTGATGGTTCTGATCTGATGTTGATGGTTCTGATCCAGGTCAGATGGTTCTTATCCAGGTGTCGATGGTTCTGATCCAGATGTTGATGGTTCTGATCCAGGTCAGATGGTTCTGATCCAGGTGTCGATGGTTCTGATCCAGATGTTGATGGTTCTGATCCAGGTGTTGATGGTTCTGATCCAGATGTTGATGGTTCTGATCCAGGTGTTGATGGTTCTGATCCAGATGTTGATGGTTCTGATCCAGGTGTTGATGGTTCTGATCCAGATGTTGATGGTTCTGATCCAGGTGTTAATGGTTCTGATCCAGATGTTGATGGTTCTGATCTGATGTTGATGGTTCTGATCCAGATGTTAATGGTTCTGATCAGATGTTGATGGTTCTGATCCAGATGTTGATGGTTCTGATCAGATGTTGATGGTTCTGATCCAGATGTTGATGGTTCTGATCCAGATGTTAATGGTTCTGATCCAGATGTTGATGGTTCTGATCCAGGTCAGATGGTTCTGATCCAGGTCAGATGGTTCTGATCCAGATGTTGATGGTTCTGATCCAGATGTTGATGGTTCTGATCCAGGTGTTAATGGTTCTGATCCAGGTGTTAATGGTTCTGATCTGATGTTGATGGTTCTGATCAGATGTTGATGGTTCTGATCAGATGTTGATGGTTCTAATCCAGATGTTAATGGTTCTGATCAGATGTTGATGGTTCTGATCCAGATGTTGATGGTTCTGATCAGATGTTGATGGTTCTGATCCAGATGTTGATGGTTCTGATCAGATGTTAATGGTTCTGATCCAGATGTTGATGGTTCTGATCCAGGTCAGATGGTTCTGATCCAGGTGTTAATGGTTCTGATCCAGATGTTGATGGTTCTGATCCAGGTGTTAATGGTTCTGATCCAGGTGTTAATGGTTCTGATCCAGATGTTGATGGTTCTGATCTGATGTTGATGGTTCTGATCAGATGTTGATGGTTCTAATCCAGATGTTGATGGTTCTGATCCAGATGTTAATGGTTCTGATCAGATGTTGATGGTTCTGATCCAGATGTTGATGGTTCTGATCCAGATGTTAATGGTTCTGATCCAGATGTTGATGGTTCTGATCCAGGTCAGATGGTTCTGATCCAGGTCAGATGGTTCTGATCCAGGTGTTAATGGTTCTGATCCAGATGTTGATGGTTCTGATCCAGGTGTTAATGGTTCTGATCCAGGTGTTGATGGTTCTGATCCAGGTCAGATGGTTCTGATCCAGGTGTTAATGGTTCTGATCCAGATGTTGATGGTTCTGATCTGATGTTGATGGTTCTGATCAGATGTTGATGGTTCTGATCAGATGTTGATGGTTCTAATCCAGATGTTGATGGTTCTGATCAGATGTTGATGGTTCTGATCAGATGTTGATGGTTCTTATCCAGGTGTTGATGGTTCTGATCCAGGTGTTGATGGTTCTGATCCAGGTCAGATGGTTCTGATCCAGGTGTTAATGGTTCTGATCCAGATGTTGATGGTTCTGATCTGATGTTGATGGTTCTGATCAGATGTTGATGGTTCTGATCAGATGTTGATGGTTCTGATCAGATGTTGATGGTTCTAATCCAGATGTTGATGGTTCTGATCCAGATGTTAATGGTTCTGATCCAGATGTTGATGGTTCTGATCCAAGGTCAGATGGTTCTGATCCAGGTCAGATGGTTCTGATCCAGGTGTTAATGGTTCTGATCCAGATGTTGATGGTTCTGATCCAGGTGTTAATGGTTCTGATCCAGATGTTAATGGTTCTGATCCAGATGTTGATGGTTCTGATCCAGGTGTTAATGGTTCTGATCCAGGTGTTGATGGTTCTGATCCAGGTCAGATGGTTCTGATCCAGGTGTTAATGGTTCTGATCCAGATGTTGATGGTTCTGATCTGATGTTGATGGTTCTGATCCAGGTGTTAATGGTTCTGATCCAGATGTTGATGGTTCTGATCCAGGTGTTAATGGTTCTGATCCAGATGTTGATGGTTCTGATCTGATGTTGATGGTTCTGATCCAGGTAGACATAGAAAAAGAAGCATAGATACAAAAGGCAGCTTCCTAACTTTCCTTTATTGTGACACTGTATTGCTTAAGTTTCCTCTGAATTAAATCGGTTTTCAATCAAAAGAGACGTCATTGTTTCCTGGCAGCTGATTGGCTGCTGGGTGGAGAGTGAAATGCTGAACGCTAACCTGCTGAACGCTAACCTGCTGAACGCTAACCTGCTGAACGCTAACCTGCTGAACGCTAACCTGCTCCGCTGCAGATCCCAGATCTACTCGGTCTGCTTCATGCCAGTGACGTTACGCTACATGATTGGCTGAACGATATAAAGGGAGAGAGCTAGGTAGCGCTGTGGCTAGCTGTAGCTAACAGGTTAGCATGTTTTAGCTTGCTCAGTTAGCCAGATTAAGATACACTACTTTTGAATCCGTGTCAACAACAACCGTTCGTTTTCTCCAAGTAGAATAACAGTTTTATTTGTCTAAAATCTCTATAAAAGTCATTTAGAAAAGTCATAGATGTTCCATTTGTCCTCTGACCTCAGATCTTAATAAAAGAATAAAAATGAGAGTTTAGAGTCTCCATGTTAAATGGCAGAGCTCAGTCTGTCTTAGAAGGCAGGACTTTCCTTCCAGACTGACAATAATAGTTTTTTCTACTTTCGGCTGCTTTAGATTGCTGATGAAATGTAAAATAATAGCAAAGATAATGAATATTATGTTGAGGCAAAAGAGGTTTGATTCTTAAGTAACGGGTGCAATACAGTTTGTCCGAGTGGAGTTGCCATATGATGATGTCATCAGAAGCTTATCTGACCACCTGAGCAGATCCAGTACCTACACTGGAGCGGGTTAGCGTTCAGAGGACGTTGCCATGGTGACCAGCCTTGCCAATAACGAACCCAGCTGCACAGTACGATGAAGTCAGGTTTAAACCTGCAGTTATCAGGCTAACCCAGTAAGTAACCCAGTAATCCTGCTGGTCAGATCTCTGATTTCTGTTGTTTTTTCAGTGTGAAACGCTGGTGGAGGAGCTGGAGGACGACATCATCTCTCTGTTCAGTCGGGAGGAAGAAAACCTTCAGGCGGAGTTATGCAGCAGAGCGTCAGGTAGCGGTGCCGCCTTCAGGGCTCCTCCTCCTGCTTTATGGACGTGATGGAGACGGTAGACTTTAGTTGCTCTGCTGTTGTTCAACACTTTGGGTCTGATCCTCTGATCTCTGTTTATTCCCTGCATTGCTGGTTGCCCGTTGGTAGTACAACCGGCTGCCATATTGGTACTCCCTAGTTAGACTGGTATCAGTGTAAACAATCGGTGCGCTACAGCATTGAACAACCATGATGTTCTCATTTTTAGGGACTTAAGACTTTAAAATAAAGATAAATTCATCAGTTTGACACAGACTGGCTGTTTCATAGCATCAGTAGATTAACTTTAACTTAGAATAAATAAATCGGCCAATCATATTGCAGAGTCATTATGAAGTCAATGAAGTCTATAAATCATGTAATATAACATATTATACAAATAAATCACAATAAAGTTAATGTGTTTATGGAGCAGAATAATAAAGATGAGCCATAAGTGCTAAACTGATGATGTTCATGAATATACATGGATAGGTTACATAGTTTTTTGATGAGGACACAGAGGTGAGTTCTTGTAGATGTAATGGAGGACTCACAGGCAGGAATCCAAGTCTTCAGGAATCCAAAAATCCAATTTAAGTACAGAAAAAAAACAGAACCTTGGAGACATCAGGGAAACGATGCATGAGGAGAAAGGAAAAGTCGAGGAAGCAGCAACGAGGAACGGCTCAGGGAGAGTTTATATAGGAGACTGAACTAAGACTGGACTAATGAGCTGATTGGGAGCAGGTGAGAACAGAGGAGTCTAGAAGGGAGCTGGGGAAAGGAGACACCAGAGGCCAACAGAGGGCAAGCAAGAAAAACCTAAGAACTCAAATATATCCAGAAAAAACCAAAACCGTGACAGACTATATATACATACATATATATATATATATATATATATGTATATATATATATATATATATATATATATATATATATATATATATATATATATATATATATACATACATATATATATATATATATATATATATATATATATATATATATATGTATGTATGTACATACATATATATATATATATATGTATGTATGTACATACATATATATATATATATATATGTATGTACATACGACGGGCGCGATCAATCTAAATTGATTGATTCCACGTCTTGAGAATGAATTTGACCGTAGAGCATGTGTTTTGAAATGTTGAGAAACGTTTGGAGATCCGGTCAGAATCTGTTTGCTAGGAGATAAATGATTCTGTTAAAACCAGCACTGGAAAAAAACCAGCAAAGCCAGTTAGCCTGAAGACCCAGTGAGGCCCTGTGCACAGGGAGCCACTGGGACCAGCAGTATTCCTCTGAATGATCAGCATAACGGCGCCATAAGAACAGCAGCAGCTCCTCATACGTCCATCGTTTCTCTGCTTAGACCTCTCTGTGTTCCTCTCCTTCCAGATTACTGTGAAGACAGTCGACCAGATGATGAGCTGTAATGGCCGACATTCGCCTCCACCTCCATAGGAGCAGTTTTCCTTGGAATCAGCCCCCCCCCCAAAAAAATTCTGTTTAATTATGACATTTTGTAAAGAAATAAAAGATGAAATGTTGAAAAAACACAGTTTGAACTGATTTTGTGATACAATAGTCAGACCTGCAGACTGCTGTCCAATCATGGAGCAGGAATAATCACTGGATCATTATTTATACCTAAAACTACGATGTTCGCAGTGATTTCATGAATGAAAAAAAACAAAACAATAATTTTCATCATGATCACTGAGTCTGGGAGCGGCCATTTTTGCCCAAATATAGTAGCCCCTCCTTCCAGCCATCTTCCAGCAGTGACGTCACGGTGCGGTAAGCCTAGCGCCATTCTCCCCGCTTTCCAAGCTAAATCAATGGGAACTACTAGACACATCTGCAATCAACAACAATTATTGAAGATTTCCAGAGGACTTCACCATTGAAATTCACCAGAGCTATAGTGAAACTGACAATGCCCACGTGCATGGCAGCTGGATGCTGGAATGCATCGGGTAAAAGTGAAACAAAGAGTTATTCCACCTTTCTGATTCCTGATCCTCCACGGACGGGTTGGTCGTTGGATCGCCAACTTGAAGAGGGAGGATTTGCCATCGAACTTCTGGCCAGAGAAAAAACCCGTAATATGTAGCCAACATTTGGAAGAAGAATGTTTTCAGGATGACTTGGATAATAGCGTGTTGTGACAAACACCAGATACAGCACTGGGACTTGATCAACAGCCGATACCGCACCGTGACAATGTCACTAACCAGTAGGTGGCAGTAGTGTTCTTTGACAAACATGGATGCCTCCAGTAAAGCACATTCACATGAAAATTACTCTGAATTAAAAACACTGATCATTTATTGAACAGGATGGAATCATTTCAGATTTAAAGAACTTTCAGAAGTTTAATAAAACCAAACCAAATTACTGCATATTTGCACCATATATATTAATGCTCTGAACTTCTAGATCATTGTTTTTTTTGCACCATGTTTTTTCTCCCTCACTGTTTACATTTGATCACTGCTGCACTTTAAGGAATGTTAATGCTCTGAAAGCTGCAAAAAAACGATAATAAACAATAAAAGCGCCAATAAAAGTTGTCTAAGTCCTCCAAGGTTTCTGCCAGAACCGGTGGCCCACATGTGACCGACTTCCTCACAGCAGCGTGGAGCCATATGGGAGGATTCAGTGAACACTCTACATCCATGTTTCTCCTCCCTGCACACACACCGCTACGCTACAAGCTACTTTCAGGTGCAGGGAGCCATCGACTCGGACTAGACTTCATGTGGACCAGACCGGGGTCAGCAGGTGCCACAGGCCTGGTCCACATGCAGGGGAGATGTTTCTTTGCATGAAGCCAGATAAAAAATCAGGAACATGATAAGCAGAGTTTTAAGTTTTAAACAGGTTAAACTCAGAGGGAACACCTGTTCATGTGAGGACCAGTTTCAGGTAGTGTCCATGTGTGAAGGGAGGGGGGGGACCTAGGAGGAGCAAAGGTGGAGGTGTTCTTCAGAAGGTTGTTGATGTGATGCTTCCAGATCCGGAGCAAGCTTTGGTTGCGTCGCCATAGAAACAGCATCTCTGAGCTCAGTCTGAGAAAAGCTGGAAGGACGTCTGTGGATCAAAGTAAAGAAGCCCCAGCAGCTCCGCTTCAGACATTCCTGTAACTTTCCTGGAGCCGACCTGTAGCGACGCATGCAGCTGTGGAGCCGCTCCACAGCTGGAACGTTCAGACATCCTGTCCGCATCCAGCTGCTTCTGTTCTGATGGAGCGTCGCCTTCAGGATAAACCTTTTCCAAAAACACCCTGATCTTCTGCTGGATCTTCTCCTCAACTTGGTCTTCAGCATTAAATTGTTTTCTAACAAGATTAGAAATATGTTTGTCCTGCAGATTAGCATTGCTAAGTGTCCTATGTTGGTGGGGGTGGGGGCCATCTGCAGCAGGCTTTGATCAGGCTGCGCCCGGCAGGCTTGGCCCGGCCATCCCAGGCCTGAGTGTGAAATCGCTCTGATGTCATCCCCCTCTCTCCACCGTCACCGGCTCTTAGTGGCTGTAATTATATTTCCGCCACAGAGCCCCCGTCCCCTTCATTCCATATTCCCAGTTTGACTGGGAAGCGTTTAGAGAAAAAGTCTCCCAGTGGGGGGAGGGGGACTTGATGGGCCGCCTATTGTTGGCGAGAGACACCAGAGGCATCAGGACTTTGGGATATGTACTTTTCCTTTCTCTGCTCGTCTGCCCTTTTCCTCCGCCTGTTGAAGAGGTGAAGTTTATGACAACAAGACGTCTGAACTCTGCATAAACGCTCTGGTTCTGCTGGTTTTACTGGTGTCCATCAACCAGGGAGGGACGTCAGGATGAGAGGAGAGTCTGGATTGGGCCAAACTCAACAAACAATCCTGACTAGTTTAAAGCTCTGCTGGTCAGAATCAGGAAGGTTCTGATCAGGGGCGCTTCTAGAACCAGAGGTTCAGGGGCCCTCAGCTCCCAGAGGGCTGCACTGGAAAAACCATTTAGAAATAAGGAAAGATTTCTTAAAATAAGTTTATTTACCCTCACTTTCAGTAGGTAAATTAGTCTGCCAATGGAATGAAGATTTTCACTCTGAAAATAGGATAATTAGATAATAAGCACTTGAAATAAGACAATGCAAATGTTGTTTTACTAATGATTCAGTAAATCTGTTAATAATGAGTTGTGGTTTTAAAGATAATAAAAACAAACCAGACACATTAGAGCACCTCGATGGTGAACATTTCACCAACACACCATCAATAGGTGCAGAAATCTGACTGAACATTTCAGGAACCCCTGAATGCAGCGTTTTCCTCAAAGCGTTGATCAACATTTTAGTTAACGAGCTTCAGGATGGTTTAACATCAGGCTGGTTTAACATCAGGATGGTTTAACATCAGGATGGTTTAACATCAGGCTGGTTTAACATCAGGATGGTTTAACATCAGGCTGGTTTAACTTCAGGCTGGTTTAACATCAGGATGGTTTAACATCAGGCTGGTTTAACATCAGGATGGTTTAACATCAGGCTGGTTTAACTTCAGGCTGGTTTAACATCAGGATGGTTTAACATCAGGCTGGTTTAACATCAGGATGGTTTAACATCAGGATGGTTTAACATCAGGCTGGTTTAACTTCAGGCTGGTTTAACATCAGGCTGGTTTAACTTCAGGCTGGTTTAACTTCAGGCTGGTTTAACTTCAGGCTGGTTTACTTGTTTGTTTATTTATTATTATTTCTGATGAACCAGAACAGAATTGAAAGGGTTAAATAACCAAATACAACTTGAAGAGGAAAAACCTGTAATAAGTAGCCAACATTTGGAAGAACAATGTTTTCATGGTGACTTCTCCTCACCTCCTATAGGAGGAACAGAGGAGTCAGACTTTGGACCCGGTCCATGACTTCCTGCTCTGGAAGGAAGGACTTGGACCTGGATCCAGGTTCTGTGGTCCTTCAGCTTTCGGCCTGAAGGTCCCTCCTCTCTGGGGTCCGTCCTCTCTGGGGTCCGTCCTCTCAGGGTTCCGTCCTCTCTGGGTTCCATCCTCTCTGGGTTCCGTCCTCTCTGGGGTCCGTCCTCTCTGGGGTCCGTCCTCTCTGGGGTCCGTCCTCTCTGGGTTCCCTCCTCTCTGGGTTCCCTCCTCTCTGGGTTCCGTCCTCTCTGGGTTCCGTCCTCTCTGGGTTCCGTCCTCTCTGGGTTCCGTCCTCTCTGGGTTCCCTCCTCTCTGGGTTCCGTCCTCTCTGGGTTCCATCCTCTCTGGGTTCCGTCCTCTCTGGGTTCCCTCCTCTCTGGGTTCCGTCCTCTCTGGGTTCCGTCCTCTCTGGGTTCCGTCCTCTCTGGGTTCCATCCTCTCTGGGTTCCCTCCTCTCTGGGTTCCATCCTCTCTGGGTTCCGTCCTCTCTGGGTTCCGTCCTCTCTGGGTTCCGTCCTCTCTGGGTTCCCTCCTCTCTGGGTTCCGTCCTCTCTGGGTTCCATCCTCTCTGGGTTCCGTCCTCTCTGGGTTCCCTCCTCTCTGGGTTCCCTCCTCTCTGGGTTCCCTCCTCTCTGGGTTCCGTCCTCTCTGGGTTCCATCCTCTCTGGGTTCCGTCCTCTCTGGGTTCCCTCCTCTCTGGGTTCCCTCCTCTCTGGGTTCCGTCCTCTCTGGGTTCCGTCCTCTCTGGGTTCCGTCCTCTCTGGGTTCCCTCCTCTCTGGGTTCCCTCCTCTCTGGGTTCCCTCCTCTCTGGGTTCCGTCCTCTCTGGGTTCCGTCCTCTCTGGGTTCCGTCCTCTCTGGGTTCCCTCCTCTCTGGGTTCCCTCCTCTCTGGGTTCCATCCTCTCTGGGTTCCGTCCTCTCTGGGTTCCGTCCTCTCTGGGTTCCCTCCTCTCTGGGTTCCCTCCTCTCTGGGTTCCGTCCTCTCTGGGTTCCATCCTCTCTGGGTTCCGTCCTCTCTGGGTTCCGTCCTCTCTGGGTTCCCTCCTCTCTGGGTTCCCTCCTCTCTGGGTTCCATCCTCTCTGGGTTCCGTCCTCTCTGGGTTCCGTCCTCTCTGGGTTCCCTCCTCTCTGGGTTCCCTCCTCTCTGGGTTCCGTCCTCTCTGGGTTCCCTCCTCTCTGGGTTCCCTCCTCTCTGGGTTCCGTCCTCTCTGGGTTCCGTCCTCTCTGGGTTCCCTCCTCTCTGGGTTCCCTCCTCTCTGGGTTCCCTCCTCTCTGGGTTCCGTCCTCTCTGGGTTCCCTCCTCTCTGGGTTCCCTCCTCTCTGGGTTCCGTCCTCTCTGGGTTCCGTCCTCTCTGGGTTCCCTCCTCTCTGGGTTCCCTCCTCTCTGGGTTCCGTCCTCTCTGGGTTCCCTCCTCTCTGGGTTCCCTCCTCTCTGGGTTCCGTCCTCTCTGGGTTCCGTCTTCTCTGGGTTCCCTCCTCTCTGGGTTCCCTCCTCTCTGGGTTCCCTCCTCTCTGGGTTCCATCCTCTCTGGGCTCCGACCTCTCTGGGTTCCCTCCTCTCTGGGTTCCCTCCTCTCTGGGTTCCCTCCTCTCTGGGTTCCATCCTCTCTGGGTTCCATCCTCTCTGGGGCCCGTCCTCTCGGGGTTCCGTCCTCTCTGGGTTCCGTCCTCTCTGGGTTCCATCCTCTCTGGGGTCCGTCCTCTCTGGGTTCCGTCCTCTCTGGGTTCCGTCCTCTCTGGGTTCCATCCTCTCTGGGTTCCGTCCTCTCTGGGTTCCGTCCTCTCTGGGTTCCGTCCTCTCTGGATTCCGTCCTCTGGGTTCCGTCCTCTCTCGGTTCCGTCCTCTCTGGGTTCCGTCCTCTCTGGGTTCCCTCCTCTCTGGGTTCCCTCCTCTCTGGGTTCCCTCCTCTCTGGGTTCCATCCTCTCTGGGTTCCGTCCTCTCTGGGTTCCCTCCTCTCTGGGTTCCCTCCTCTCTGGGTTCCATCCTCTCTGGGTTCCCTCCTCTCTGGGTTCCGTCCTCTCTGGGTTCCGTCCTCTCTGGGTTCCCTCCTCTCTGGGTTCCCTCCTCTCTGGGTTCCCTCCTCTCTGGGTTCCGTCCTCTCTGGGTTCCCTCCTCTCTGGGTTCCCTCCTCTCTGGGTTCCCTCCTCTCTGGGTTCCGTCCTCTCTGGGTTCCCTCCTCTCTGGGTTCCCTCCTCTCTGGGTTCCGTCCTCTCTGGGTTCCGTCCTCTCTGGGTTCCCTCCTCTCTGGGTTCCCTCCTCTCTGGGTTCCGTCCTCTCTGGGTTCCGTCCTCTCTGGGTTCCCTCCTCTCTGGGTTCCCTCCTCTCTGGGTTCCCTCCTCTCTGGGTTCCGTCCTCTCTGGGTTCCGTCCTCTCTGGGTTCCCTCCTCTCTGGGTTCCCTCCTCTCTGGGTTCCGTCCTCTCTGGGTTCCCTCCTCTCTGGGTTCCCTCCTCTCTGGGTTCCCTCCTCTCTGGGTTCTCTTCCAGAGGAAGTGACGTGTTGTAGGACCACCTGACTCCTCACTGAAGCAGCTGTTCAGCTCCAACATCAGAGCAGAAAACATTTAGAAGTTCATCTCGTTTAGAAAAAGTATTTAAACCCCCGGAGGACATTAAATAATCTCCTCGGTTTGAATCTGTTCCATATAAAAGATAATTATTACATGTAATTAATGAGTAATAACTGCGTTAATAATAATTGTCTGTTCATGTTTATAAGGACAGAAACATTTTATTTGTTCACTTCATGGACTTTTCTGTTAGTTTCATTTCTTCGTAGCATTTTTTAAACAATCAAAATCTAAATAATAATCTGATTATAATTGTCTTTAATTAAACAGTATGAATTGTTATTTTAATGGATTTTGTGAAATTAATAAATTTATTCTGATGATTGTTATTACAAAGGTGGTTCCGTTCACAGCAGAGACCCGTTCTGGACGGGTTCTGAATGGCCTGGATGGTTACAGGGGCCAGCAGGGGCCGGCTAGAACCGGTTTTGGCCCCTGTACTGAAAACATAGGATAAAAAAATAAAACTGAAATAAAAGTAAATCCGTTTTTTTTTTAATAATTTTCCTTCATTAAAATAAGTTGAACAATTTCCCAGTGTGACGATAAAATACTGATATTAACTAAGAATTAAGGACAAAGTCGCTCATTTTAAGGAAAATTAAAATTTTCTAGATCAGTTTTTGCAGATTAATAATGAATCAGTCAGAATATTTATCCTTTGGACCAATTTATTATTTTGACTTTAATATTAATATATGATTAAAACCGAAGCTTCAGTTTTAAACTGTTAGATCCGGAAAATTGAACTAAATGCTGATTTATTTAAGCTGTTTATTATTATTATTATTACTATTATTCTGTCTGTCTGTAGAGTCAGAACCTGACTTTGGGTTTTCTCATGGTACCAGCAGCTCAGACCGGACCCGGTCCGGACGGTTCTGATGTGAATTGGACCGCTCTGAGCCGATCAGACTGAGCCGAACCGGTTTCCGTCTCAGAACGTTCCGGTCCAGATTACAGCTGATGAACCGAACCGCACATCTTCCGGTTCCGATTAATCAAATCTGTTCAACATTTTGGGTTCAATTTAAAAAGGGTTCGGTTGGACGAACTGGCGGGCCTCCAAACGGCCTCCGGTTCCGGTTCTGTTTTTGTTTTAATTCAAACTGGTTTGGATCAAAAGGAGAAAATCAGCCGAACAGAAAAGAAACATCTAGAAATTTCACATCTTTATTTGGAAACAATAAAAACTGCACCAAAAGGCCCACATCCGGTTCGGACCCAGAATCTGGACCCGCCGAACATGTCGGTTGGTTCTGTAAACTGGACTGGTTGATATAAATAAGAGAATAAATGGTCCAACCCAGGATAAGGCCGCGCGCTCGGTTCGGTCCATAATCCTGGTCCCAGAGTGGTTCGGTCAGTGTTCAGGAAATAACAGAACCTTTGGGCCCAAAACCGAACCGGACCTCGGATCCCATCAAGCAGAACCCAGAAGATGGCGAGAAGTTCTCTTTGGGTTTCGGCATAGATCTGGTTCTGGAAGCCCCCCTGCCGGACCGGACCGGACCTTTCTCTCAGTGGGTCTGCGGGTTGTAGTAACAGAACCATGTGAATCGTTAAAGGTTCGGCTCTGAATCCGCTGTTTGCCGCTACCAGGTCCGGATCAGGGGTTCTGGTGCCGGTTCTGGTGGCGGCCCTCAGTCGCTGTCGGAGCGGGCCTCCCTGCAGGCGGAGTGGTTGTACAGGCCCTGCGCCATCAGGTGCTGGGCCAGAGAGTTCGGCTTCCCGGAGGCCTTCTTGATCTTGGCCCGTTTGTTCTGGAACCAGATCTTGATCTGGGACTCGTTCAGACCCAGATCCTGGGCCAGGTTCTGCCGCCGCTGCTCCGTCAGGTACCGGTTGTTCTGGAACTCGGCCTTCAGCCGCTGCAGCTGCTCCGAGCTGAAGGCGGTTCGGGGCCGCTTGTCGTCCCTGCTGGGGCCCGGGGCCCTGCGGGCTCTGCGGGACCGGGGCCCTGTGGAGCAAAGCAAGATCCAGTTAAACTCTGTTCAGAACCGCCTAAAGGTTCGGGTATCGGTTCCGTCTCTCTGGGCCCCAAATCTAAACCGATCCGGGGGCCTGATGCGAATCGGAACCGGGCCCTTTGGATCGGAGGTCCTGGACTAAAGTTCCTCCTGCGGCTGTTTGGTTTTATCTCCATCTGAGAATAACAATTATTATCATTTCTAAAGATCTGATTCAATTATTTCATATATTATGGACATTTTTTATTTTATTTTAGATTATTTTAAGACCAAAATAAAACAACTGTGGGAAGTTAATTGATCGAACTAATTAGAACCGAACCAGATGGGATCAAACCGACGCGCCGGACGGATTGGACCCGGTTCAGGGTCAGTTCGGTTCGGGTCAGAATTGTTCCTCAGCCAGAGGCTTGAACTTCTGGGCCTCCGTCCGTTTCAGCAGAGTTCTGGTTCCGTTTTATTCTTTTCTGTCTTTAAGACTTTTTCTTCATTTAAAATATGAACGAAGCATCTTTTAAAAAACAAAGAAAAATATGGAAAAAGTTTTTTAGACATTTAAAAAAAAAGAAACATCTATTTATCTATTTGGGATTTTTGCCGCCCCCCCTCCCCCCTTTAGTTGGAATAAAAATGCAAATGAAAAAAATAACAAAGAAACGGAGGAACAAAGGCCTAAAACTCTGTTTTTCTTCCATATTTTCTGCGCTTCAGAGGCGCCGTTTTTCTCTTTCATTTTCATATTAATAAATTCTTCATTTATTAATATTATTATGGACAGAAAATCCAAAGTCGGAAAACCAAAGTAGCAGAGCTGAGCTTTCCAAGAAAAAAAACCCTAATAAGCCTGATAATAGGAAAAATAATAACATTAATATAAAGAACAATAATTGTAGTCATAATAATATTAATAATGATAATTTCGGGTCTAATAGTTGTTTTTTCGGCCTGATCTGCGCGGGTTTCTCTATTAACTCTAGTTTCTATTGTTTTGCTGAACTGAGCGAAGCTCCTCGGAGTTAAAATAAAGCTTCAACTATGATTTTATTTTTACTTTAGTACATTTTTTTTAATCGGTCATTTTATCTTTTTTTTCCTTTCAAATAGCCCACAGTTTTTATCAGTTTTTTTAGTTGTTTTTTTTTTTTTTTTCCTCTTGTTTTTTTAATTTAATTCGAGCCATTTATTTATTTATTTAGTTTATATTCTCCTTTAATGATCGCCGCTCAGAATGAGGGAATTTTTCCACCAACCTGCTGAGGGCCTGTCGGAGTAGCGGGTGCAATAAACCCAGGCCGGCCACAGCATCGGCCTGGCTGCGGGGGCCGCCGGGGCCTCTCCGCTGTCGGGGCCTGAATCACAGGCTGTCATCAGTTCGGGGTCCCTCGCCTCAGCCTCCGCGGGGCCCCTGAGGGGCTCCTGTCCCGCTGTCCCCCCGCGCTTGGAGTCACTTCTGGAGGCTTTCCTCCGTGCCTCCGCTCCGGGCCCTCCCCGGCCGCAGCCGCCGTCCTTCCTCCGCAGGCCGAAGTCCGGCCTCAGGATGTTGTCGATGAAGAAGTTGGTGACCCCGCTGGACTGCTGGTTCCCCGGCTGCTGCAGGAGGGGCCCTCTGGCCCGGTTCGGCTCCTCTCCGGGGTTCTTTGGGCGCTGCGTTCCTGGCAGGACATTCTCCTCCATAATGAAGATCAGTAAGAAACGCAGAAAGTCCTCCTTCTGGTTCTCCCTCTGATCGGTCAGCTGATGCGTTCAGAGGAGCAGCAGTTCTGTTCCGGTGACTTTTGGCCAGAAACAATCCTGCTTCCTTTGTGATGAGAGCATCCCTCTCCTCTCTGGCCTCACCTCTCTGCTCCACGGCACCACGGATGACCTGAGGCATAAAGATGCTGCTGCTGCTGATGATGATGAGGAGGATGATGAGGATGATGATGGGTCTAAGGTCTCCTCCAGGTCCTGCTTTTAGTCCCAGATGTTTCCTGCTGCACTAAATGCGCTTCATGAAAATGCCGCTCAAATACTTCCACTAAACATTTTTTGGATCTGATTTCTGATTGGTTAAAAGACTGGGCGCTGACGTCACGCTACGGGCCTCACACACGTGTTTCTGACCAATAGATTCACAGGGTGTTCAGGATGTGTGATAAACAGTCATATTCATTCAGCTCATTTAAAAAAAATAAGCTTTAAGGAAGGAAGCATCTCTGAAATCAAAGGTTCCGGTTATTCTGAGACTTTATTTCATCATCTGAGCAAAAAGATCAGAAATAGAAACAAGGCCTGAAAATATCAGAGGGATTTAAAACATCCAGTGGATACACATTTACCACCAGGGGCGGATTTGGGAAATGTGGGGCCCTAGGCAAAGGAGAACACATAAACAGCCCCATTCCCCAGATAGAGAAATGTTAATAGAATAGACATCCATTATCTGTTCTAGGTTGTGTCCCTCTCTTCTTGTCCCTTTTCTTCTTGTTTTCCTCTCTATGTTTTGTACTCAGCTGACTTTTCAGGCTGTCTCTAAAGGAATGAAAGATTTTTTCCAAGCACTAAGCTCACTTTACAAACGGTTCCCCATATAATAAGATCAACCTTAGATTAATGAATTAATTCATCGATAAACTTGCATCTCTGGCGTTCGCTTTAGCAAACATGTGAAATAATAAATCTTTTTGGTTCTGTGAGGCGGTCAGGCTCAACCTAAGCTTATTTTTTAACATCACATCCCTGCATTCTGTCACCGACTATCCAGCCTGCTAACCAATCAGTACTGAACAGGAAGTCATGATCATAATTTTCCTTTTTTTTCCTTTTCTGAAAAAAATTAGATTTCTATTTTTTAAGTCCCTTTTAACACAAAACTCTTGACTAAAAGAATAATTAAAAAAATAATAATTGGTGATTTATACATATAAAAAAGTGGTGGCCTATTGGTTGGGGCATAGGGCTTTGAATCCTCAGGTTATGGGTTTGATCCCCCACTCCCCCCACTCAGATGGCCACTCTGGGTCCCTGAGCAAGACCCTTGATACCCACACTGCTCCCTGGGAGCTGCACAATAGCAGCCCACTGCTCCCCAAGGGGAGGGGATAAATGCAGAGAATTCATTTCGTTCCTCTGTACTTCTGACGGTGGAATGACAGTAAAGTTGAATTCTATATTAACAAACATGGTTTGTTTTCAAATGGTTTGCTGCTGTCTGTTTGGACCTTTCTGAACATGTGCAGCAAATGGACTGATCCAATATGGTGGACACTGAAGGGGGGGGCTGAGACACACTTAATATTATCAGCGTTCTGATGGAATTTTGATGAAAGGATTTTTATCAAAAATAAAATTAATTTTCAGTTTCCTTATATAAGGAATAGTTGTATTAACCAAACATGGAAACACAGTTTTATGGGGCCCCCAGGAACTTGAGGCCCCAGGCAGCTGCCTGGTATTGCCTGATGGTAAATCCCTCCA